GTAAATCTCAGCACAAGAATGCACACGGTATTGAACTGTGCCCAGAGACCAGGGCGAGAGCCTGCAGCTCCCTCTTCTTAATGAACTGCCACAAAAAACTGGGATGGGTGGAAGGCGAAAGGTACTTCATTTTACTGAGCTTTTCATTACAAGGGAAGAACGGAAAAAAAGCCCTGAGAAGGAATCAGGCATTATGAACAACAACAAGAGCACCAAAACCTCAAAGTACAAAGCAGCCCTTTCTATATACATATGAATGGAAAGAGGGAGTAGAAAGGAATCATGGTTTAGTGAAAGAAATTGCTCAGGTATAGCTCTGGTGCTTGGAAATGCTTGTTTTTCAACAGCGTGTCAGTGGGGATTTATAGGCTGACGCTCAGCTGATGTAAATCAGTGTTGTTCCTTCACCATGGCTGATTTATGGTACCTGAAGATCCGGCCCCATATTTTCTTTTGTGGGCATGTTTGCCAAAGGACAATTTTCCATCACTTCTCTTTTGCTTGTAAATGAAACCATGGGCTGAAAACAACAAACCATGTTGCCTTGAATCCTCAGATGTACTTGTTCTGTGAAAAATCCCTATGATGAATAGCAAAGCCGTGGCTTTCTAGCCAACTTTGCTTTTCCAGGTGAAGGTGATATTTACCCAGAGAGGAATTTGCTCCCAAGGGCCTGATTCTGATGTCTTCTATGTTAGGAAAATGCAGCAGCATGAAGCACCCACAGATCGGTGTGATTTAGACTTCTCAAAGGAACAGGAAATGTAGGATCTCAGCAGGTTTTCCCATCCGTGGTTTGATCAATGCTGTTTGGCATTGGGCTACCAGGTTATGTGGAAACATGAGACAGGTCTCTTATACCAAGGAACAGTTTGACTTATAGGTGATTCTTACCTTTATACCAACTGCTTAGAATCACAGAATCATAAAATAGTTTGGGTTGGAAGGGAGGCCTTTAAAGGTCATCTAGTCCAATCCCTCTGCCATGATCCCACCTTCAACTAGACCAGGTTACTCAGAGCTGGCCTTGGATGTTTCCAGGGATGGGGCATCTACCACCTCTCTGGGCAACCTGTGCCAGTGTTACACCACCCTCACTGTAAAAAAGTTCTTCCTTATATCTAAGTCTGAATCACTGCTCTTTTAGTTTAAAACCATTAGTTTAAGTAGAAACATGAGACAAGGCTCTTATACCAAGGACCAGTTTGGCTCTTAGGTAGTTCTTACATTTACACCAACTTCTTAGGACTCAAGAAAATGCTTGCAAACAAATGAGTATAAAGTTACCTTAGTCAGAAAGCCAAGTATGCTTCTTTTGTGACCAGAGGGAAGAAATTAATGAACAGAAAGACCTGATGCCTTGGAGGGTGGGGAGGGATGGGGCCTGCAGGAAGGGAACCTGCATCCTCAGCTTTTAGACCTGTTTCTAGAAGGATAGATTACAGGCTAGAGAACCTCAAAAAAGAATAAATCCAACTGCATATAAAATGCCACTAGGAAACACATACAAATAAGAGCAGAAAAAGCTATGTTTTACCTGCAGTTGTTCATTCTCATGACTCTGCTCACAACCCAAGGCACTGAAATACAAACCCAAGGGCTTCCTTTAAGCACCAAAGGCATGTGAAGAGTGCCCCTCTCCTCCCACTCCAGTCCTCCACTACCCCCAGGGCTCAAATATCGGGTACGCTGAAATTCAGGAGCAGCTGAAGTCAAAAAAAAGGAAGAAGCTGCCTGTAAGGTCTGGGGGAAAAAAAAAAAAGAGAAAAGATTATGAGCAATTACACATTTACAATGGCAGTTGAAGAAGCTAATATATCTCCTGCTGAAGTGGGCAGCATGAGAGTTGTGCAAGATGAGATAAGCAGCAGAAATGTATGTTTCTTAGTTAAACTAAAAGCTTAGAGGGTACAATAAAACACTGCAGTTCCACCCGGGTTTTAATGAATGGATTTTCCCCTTTTGCACACTGACATACATTTGATATAGTTATTTATCCTATATATTTCTCGCGGCATATTTCCCAGGAGACCTTGTTTATCTCGCTCATAAGTACATGATGGATGTATGGCGCTTTGGATAAATGGTATCACAATCAGATATTTTTATGGATATAGGCAAACTGGGTTATTAACAAAGGAAGGGCAGAGAGGAACCAGCACGCAAAAGAAAATAGCAAATGATTGATGACAATACACCTGAGGTTGCAAGGTGCAGGCTCCAGATAACCAGCTAACAGAAGAGGAGATAAGGGCAGTGCTTGAGACAGAGCTGTTTTCTACCTCGGGGTCAATGTCACGTCGACTGCCCCAGTGCCTCCATCCCTCTGAGCCTGCAAAAATTCCTCAGCAGAAGCAGCTCAAAAATTATTGCTTTTCTTTTCATACAGTGGAATGCACAGGCACAGGAAGACACAAAACATGTAATCCCATGCCAAAAACCTGAAACAAAAGATATTCCAGATTCTGGCAAGTTTGGTAAGGGACTGATACTTGTGGTGCTGCTCTATCATGCCCAACACAGTGGGATTCATGGTGCTGCATTAAAAATAAGTAAAAATATGTGTTCACAATCATAATAATTACTGTACTCATCTCTAGTTTTGTTGATTTACAGAAGCAGGGTGGTATTAAAATGGTATATAAAAGGAAGATTAATCTGTAGGCATAATTTGACCTGAAATCAGGCAGTTGTGTTGAGTTCTCACTGGGCTCTTCAGCCATCAGAGTGAAACAAAGAAATTCTGGGGACTGTTAACACCTCTGCATGAACTTTCTGAGTTGCTTTCCACTAAATCGATCTGGAAGAGAACCTGGGGAGAAACAATATATATATATTGTTTTATATATATATATCCACAAGAAACAGCAGCATGGTAAAGTGATTTAGCAATACTATGGCTACCAAAGGGTTTGTAAGTCCCCAGTTGCAGTGTGGACCACATTCCAGCCTCACAGGTAAACACAAAATGTGTACATGATATGACACAACAGGGAGCAAGGGAATCTCAGCTGGAAAGCAGTCTGGTTTAACCACACCTGATGGAGATGTTTAGGGTAGCAAGAGTCAAGTCGGTTTTGTCCTGGGAAAGCTGAATGTGACAACTACAACTTACCTGAAATACCCTTTTGGGAGTTTCCAAAGCCATGTTGCCTGGATCCAGCAACATCACAGCAGCATTGTCTTCAGGCAGGGAGATGCAAAAAAAATACAGCTTCTTCATGTTTACCCTCTCTTTTTTCTCAAGCAAACTACTTGTGAAAATATAATATGGGATGTAGTAGAGCCCACTGAGACAAGTATCTTAACCAGAGAAATGGGCTAGAGCAGCACAGGCAGCACTGAACACACACACAGCCTGCCTTCCCGAGTTCTCACATGTGGGTTATTAATCTAAACTTACACAGAAAGTGGAAGTTAGAAACACCAGTAAAAAATAGTACCAAAATTTAATGCGAACCAAAATGAAACGATAAAAGCTTCAGCATAGTATTTTTTATTACCCTCCAGGTTATAATAAATCATTAGTTAGTTGAATCAAAGCACAAAATCACAAGGACAAGATAAAGTTATGTCCTTTATGGGAGCTTCTAAGCCTGCAGGCTGCATATTCAACCACTGTTGAACTCATACTTCAGTTAGACTACCTTGCTGATCTTGACGACTGTCAAATCTCTCCTCTCTTTCTCCAAAAATACTCCCAAATATACAAACCCAGGCACTGCCACTTCAAAAACTCTGGGCTTTTCTGATTTGGGAAGAACAGTTCCAATCCAGGTTGCTACACTTGGCTCTGCTTGCCACAGCCATGGATAAAGGCACCACCACTATGTGTTTAATCGGCTTGATGATCAGGGAAGGTGGTTAAATTTACAAAACCCACTTGACTCATTTGAGAAATTTCCTTTGTGAGATTACATTGATCATTCTCAAGAAGGGCAGGCAATGACACTGAAGCACCTGTCCTTACAGGCACCCAGGAACCACGCTCAGGGTCCTCAGCTGCAGAGCTTCTCGTGTGCCTTCAAAAACTTGGAGGAATGTCATCCTTCACACAAGCAGTGACCTCTTGTGTGAAGGATGACCCAAAATTAATCTCCTGGCAAATTTCTATCACACAAAAGATATCACAGCTGCACAGTGGAAAAGGGAAATGTTTTGGGTTGGCAGCTAAATTGTGAAGCCCATAATGAGTATAGAGCACTCATCTTTTACATATGCAATGTGCTCTGCCTTTCTTAAAGCTGTCACAGAAACCTTGTCGATAAGTGTGGAGGCGGCATGAGGGCTACAACTAAATGCATGTTCCATTGTTCAGATGTCAGAGAGCCTGAGCTGTTCTTATAGGAATTACATTTAGACAACATCAGTCTGAAAGGGGAGAAACTGGCAATACCAACCCACCATCACCAGCACTGCTAAAAACCCTCAGAAGAGTGTTTGACCTTGCGGATGTTAGAAGACTCACAACACTCATGAACAACTTTGCACTGATGGAATTGCTTTTTGGAGCAAAGCTATTTATGGTTATTTTACAGCAGGCCCAGCCAAATGTCTTTGGAAAAATCATTAACCACCAACAAAGCTGTAAGAGGCAAGTCCCCGGAATGATCCAGGCTCAGGTTGGTCACGACATGGTGCACAATATTCTAAGTTCCTCTGATGTTACATCTGCATTATGATGCACAGCTCCAGGGACAGTAATAAAGGGCAAACCATTTGCTTTGGCTCTTTTCATTAGCAAACTCTTTTCAAGTCAGATGTCCTACCCTGAGCGGACTAGCAGTGTAGCTACTGAAATACAGACTTCGATGGGATCAAACAGATGAAACAGAGCCTGCCTGGGACAGAGGCAGCTACTACAGGTAGAACACCTCAGGGAATGTACAACCAATTGTTCCAAAAAGTTCCATTTATCCCAGAGAACCTGTGGCTGCCCCATCTCTGGAAGTGTTCAAGGCCAGGTTGGATGGGGCTTGGAGCAACATAGGATAGTGGAAAGTGTCCCTACCCATGGCAGAGGCGTTGGAAGGAGATGATCTTTAAGGTTCCTTCCAACCCAAACCCTTCTGTGACTGTATGATTATGCTGGTGCTCATCCCGCTCCAGCTGAGGGTCCTGGCATCCTGGAGTGACATCCCTAGTCAAGATACAGCCTCTCCATCAAGTGTAGCCATCTCTCCTGCTCTCCAATATCCCCAAGCAGCAGAAGCAGCAGCTTTCCAGTTCCTCATCCATCCCAGCTGCATCCCGCTGTCCTTCCCTCCCCTTCCCAAGAACCAGAGCACAGATGTATCTGAGCATACCAGGGTGCATCTGATATTTGGTGTATCTCTTCTACCTCAGAAAGGCCAAGGAGGAGGCTCATCTCCTACTGTGGTAGGAGAAAAACTACTGTATAGTCTCACAAGGCTTTGGTGTCACCATTTGGTTTCCACTCCTTGAAGACGATTTCTCATATGACAGACAATTTAAGTTAAATTCAATAAATTGGGCAACTGGGGTATTGAGGCACAGAGGCTTTAAATGTCACATTAGATACTGTTGTGCTCATTGAGATTTGGACTTTAACATGCTGTATTTTGCTCCACATGACACAGCTGTCTTCACAGAAGCTGCATATTAGCGCACATTCTGCCGCGCTTCAGATCAAACAGTCTTTTCTTATCTCAAAGGAACCTTCAAAAACAAGACAGTACAATTTAAAATCGTGCAGCTACCAAATACGGCAGGAGATAAAGCTTGTCTCAGTTAGCCCATTGCAATAAAGACAGGGAAAAGGCAAAATATTAAGGTCAGTAAGCACATTCAATCCCATGGGACAATTGCAAGGCATGTCCAAAGGTGTGATTCATAACACACTCTCAGCTCCCAGTGTCTTGAAATGTTTCTGACTTCAGTACACTTGGATGAGACCCATGAGCAGAGAGAGGCCAACTCAGAAAGCCAGTCAGGTGACATCTTCCCAACCAGTTTTCCAAATGCCCATCACTTTTTTTGTAAGTTCCTAATGATTCCCTCTAGCAATTAACTGTCTCCAAGTCTGGCCCTGAGCACGATGAACCACCATTCTGTGGGGTAGGGTTGTTGCACTGTCGTCTTCTTGTTCTTTGACCTCCCGAGCATGGAGACCAGCTGGCCCAGCAGCCCCAGTTTCCACTAATAGCAGCATCTGGAAAAAAAACCCAAAGCAGGAAATGATTGTCAGAGTAAGGCAGGTCTTTCCATGGGAAGAGCTGTCAGCTTCCATGAATCACATTTGAATACAAACAGTTCTGCCCCTGTCTAACAATATACTGGAGTCATTAACAATGAGTGATTGCTTTAAAGATGTTAATTCTTTGTTCAACATTTCTGGTGTTTATTCAAACTACACTTTAAGAAGACACAAAAGAGGACAAAAAAGGTTAATTAGATTTATATTTTCTTGTAGGATGTTTCTGTCTCTGACTTAGTCCAAGCCTAGATAAGAAACACACCAAGTAAACTTGTCTCAGCCACGTTTTGAGGTGGGAGGGGCAGTGTTAGCACTTCAATGAACAACAGCTTGACTATTCATCTTTCTCTCCATTGCTTTTCCTATTACACTGATTCTTCTGGACCCTGAGCATGTGAGTGACATAAATTCAAAATCCTGAGAATTATGGAGGCAACAGATAAAAGGAGGAAAGGGGCGTGAGAAAGGAAGTTCCATGTTGACAAGTGGATGGATGTGAGTCTTTGGGAGGGTTGGATGTGACTGCACGTGTGATAAGCAGACTGAAATAAGGTGTTACTCTACAGTTTAAGGTTCCACGGACTTTTCTAGAAACACCTATAAAATTGACCCCCTGCTTGGTGAAAGCTTGGCTTAAAATGCATTTCAGCCTAGCTTAGTTAGGACACAGCCATACAGAATGAGTACTGGATAAGACTGTAAACAAAGCAGTGATAAATGCACTGCATCAGACTGGTGCCAGAGCTCTGGGTGCCTGGGATCTGGTATTATTTAGCAAATAAATTAATGAGCTGGAAGAAGTAAACAAAATGATTAAATTCACAGATCATCCTAAACTAGAAGGAGTTAAAAACATCAGTCTGGAGACAGCAGCAATATCAAGTGACCAAGAAGCATTAGTAAACGCTTCAAAACAACATAATAAGATTTTAAGATTAAAATGCATGGTAGCATATCTGGGGGACAACAGTTTGCAACATGCTGGCTTATTCAAAGGGAAAAACTTAGGAAACAGAGCTGTTGGAGGAGACTTGAGGCTTGTCATGGATTGTCAATTAGGCAGAAGTTCATATTTTTGATACAATTGCAAGGCACGTACATGCAGCTTTGAACAGCAAAAATAAACTCTCCTCCTCGAGAGTGCAAAGAAATTCAGAAGAGGGTGGGGAAAGTATATCTGTCACCTCTGCAGATGTCAACTAAGCCCTGGTGCACTGGGCTGGGCAGACTGGGGACAGCCAGCGCTAGGCATCACTCCCCATCCATCAGCTACACTCCTAATGCAGCTGGGACTGTCTCCTCAGACCTGGGGTCCCTCTCACCTTTTCTCTTGCTGATCTCACAAGCGATGCCGCTGTAGCCAAGGGGACATAAGCATTCACATTCTGTTCCTAAAAGGAAGCAGAGATGGTGGGAATTAGAGACTTCAAGTCACATTTCCCAGCAGACGCTCATTTCTTTTCAGCACTTCATATTCTATGAGGAAGGGAGAGTGGGTGAAATGCCATCATTTTTCTGCAATGTTGAAAGGATGAAAGAGCAATAAAGAGGGGAGCTGTCGCTACCCTGCCACCCCTCTTGCCTCCCCAGCCATTTCTTCCTGCCACTGCACTGTAGCTCAACCTCCAACACACTGGAGCAGTAATTCCTCACACCAGGGGTCCACACAGCCCCCCTGTTCCTCTCCAAAAGAGATCACAGAATCACATAATGGTCTGGGTTGGAAGGGACCTTAAAGATCATCTCGTTCCAACCCCCCCCACCATGAGCAGGGACAGCTTCCACTATTCCAGGTTGCTCCAAGCCCTGTCCAACCTGGCCTTGAACACTTACAGGGGTGGGGCAGCCACAGCTTCTCTGGGCAACCTGTGCCAGGGCCTCACAACCCTCACTGGGAAAAATTTCTTCCAAATGTCAAATCTAACCCTGCCCTCTTTCAATTTAAAGCCATTTCCCCTTGTTCTGTCACTCCAGGCCCTTGTCCAAAGTCCCTCTCCCGCTCTTTTGGAGCCCCTTTAGGTGCTGAAAGGTGCTCCAAGTTCTCTCTGGAGCCTTCCCCTCTCCAGGCTGAACAATCCCAGCTCTCCCAGCCTGTCTCCATAGCAGAGGGGCTCCAGCTCTCAAAGCATCTTTATGGCCTCCTCTGGTCTCCCTCCAGCAGCTCCATGTCCTTCTTATGTTGGGGGTCCCTGAGCTGGACACAGCACTGCAGGTGGGGTCTCTAGAGAGAGCTCTTGGTAAAGCTGAGAGGGAGCAAACTGCAGCATCAGAAACGAGTACCTGGGACAGGAGTATCCCAGCTTGGCTTTGTGGCAGAGGAAAAGCCCACATATCCCTGCTCTGGCTGCCCAGGACTGCGATGTGCATCCCATGTCAGGAACCCAGAGGAGAACTCCCACTTAAGAAAATAAATGGTCATTTAAAACCTCTTGTTGAGAAGATCCTAAATGAAACGCTAACCTGACTCAGCTCCTAAAAAGTTATTTAAACAAGGGTCATCATGAGACAAATCCTTGAAGTGCTATAATCAACTAGGTGGTACCTGAAGTGATCGTTTCTGCATTAGATACAATTTGATGATAATGATTCTCATCAGGAATTTTGCAGATGCAGATTGGAATTAGGCACTTGACAAAACGGTCCCTTTGTTAGAAGCTCTCATCACATCATCTATGTCTGTTTAGGCAGAGCAGTTTTCATTGAATTTGATTATTTTTTCCCTTCATTTTTAAATCACAGCCTGCTTACAAAGGAGGACAGCTTCTATCAGAAATGGGGGGAGGTGGTGGTGATCACTGTACTTGGCACTTACATGGTGCTTTTCATCTTCAAAACACTTTTACAAACACTAATTAATGCTGAGACAGTAGTCACTTCTCCAGGAGGATGGAAGCAATCTTAAAAGCAAGGGAGGAGACTTAAAGATGTCAAAGGCTTTTTTTAAACGCATAATTGAGAAGGAACAAATTCTTCCATAAAAGTGATACAAATGGTCACTCCTATTAAAAAGACGCATCCCCTGACTTTACTGTCTTTACTCACCAGGACTCTACAAACAGACCAACTTTAAAAAAATAATTACCTGATAAAGAAATGACAGGGGAAACTAAAGAGCCAACCTTCCTCGCTCCCCACAAATTCCCAAATGATTTCTCTTAAGAGGGTAAAAAAGAGGTTCAAAATCCTTGTACCTCGCAGGAAGGGGGTGCCATTGCCCTGGCATGGAGCACAGCGACAGGAACTGGTCTCCAGCTGAAACTCATCCAGAGCCCGTCGCAGATTCTCTTTTATTGTGATTGCACTGGCAAAGTCATTTGGAGTCACCAGCTGATACAGCGGCTCTGCCTAAATGGAGGCAAGAAACTGCATTAATTTCCAAGTTCAAGATGCTGTGAACATCACAAAGCTCGGTGGTGGCACAGCTGGAGAGGGAAATGAAGGCTGTGTGGTACAGGCTCCAGGTTTCCCATTACTATTTACTTAAACCTTGTGAACAACAAAGCCACGATGTCAGGAGTACTCAGAAGGATGCTCCCCTTGGTTTCCAACACCAAAGCAGTTGGAAATGTGTAAAAAATACAACAGCCAAACTGTTAGTTAACAAACAAGCAAAGTTTCACAGGAGTTCCATTAAATCCTTTCTCATCCATTTTCCTGATAAAGACATTTTTAGATGAGATTTGCTCAAACTTACACTTTCTGAGTGATCTCTTACTCTGATCTAATAAATGTCCCCGAACACCCATCCACAAAAATCTCCTCCATTCCCTCCACAGCCCCCCAACGCTGCCAGAGGCATCAGCCACAGACATTTACATCAGCACCTTCACCTTCACCACTTCTGCATTTCAAGGCTGATTTCTATCTTTATGGAGCCAAGATAAGAGTTTCCACTGTCTTCTAGAAGGGAGAGGATTTGATCTCCATCTGCGGATTGGGTTGGTGGGAGAAGACGAGGGGATGCACAACATGGTGAACATGCAATAGGGGATCAAGGAGACTTTGGTTCACTCATTATTTTTCTCTTGAGAACAACGGAAAGTTAAAGTGGGGTCTCAATATTGCCAGTGGGACGATACTGCCACGTGTCACCAGAGGATCCATCCCAAATTCCCATCCTCACTACAGAGATGTTGCCATACAGGCCACATCAACAAAGTAAGCATGAAAGATCATCTTTCTGCCATCACAGGCTCAAACTACAAGAACTAAAGAATGTTTCAATAAAAAAATACTAATTTCCTGATGCTGTACATCCACTCTTCATCAATTATCTGTGATCCATACTTTGCTTTTTGAATTCAGATCATACAAATGAGGAAATACACTAAGAGTGACCTGCCAAGTCCCTTCAGCAGATGATTTATGAACTGATTTGCTTTAGTTTTCCCTAACTAAGCATTCTTGGGCTGACATTTAGTCACACTTCACTGGCACTTTTGATCTTCAAGCCCCACAGGGATATTGGTATGGAAATGAAGATACCAAATCTAAATTACATCCGTCTGAGGTTTTTCACTGGGCAGCCTGGTCACTGATGCCAGGCAAGACAAAGAACGCAATAATTTCTTGTGGGAGATTTTTCTGTGCATGGGATCTAGTGCAGAGGGTTGCATTTCTCTTGCCTCCTGCCCTGAGACCTCCCAGTGCTTTTTCTGGAAGGTCAATCCACAGCACACTGGGGGCTTGGGTAAGACACCTCTGCTGCAAAAAGTGCCACACAGGCACTGGCTACATTTCCAAATTACTGATTTTTTGCTTGCTTCATATTTTTAAAATTCACCTCTTTCTTGAGAAACAGATGCTTTTCAGAAATATAAGTATTTTTGCCTAAAACTAAATTTTACAATAAAAAACAACCATACAGCAATAAAATCAACTTCCACCACTACCAGTTCAAACCTCTGTTTAAAAGAATGTCCTCTTGCACCTTTGTACTATCCACTTATTTTGACATTTAAAAAGATGAAGCAGAATTGCTACATACAAAGTCTGCTTACTTTTTACACTTCTAAAACTCTTCAGGATCAAAAATCCTTGACTCTTCAAAACCTAACTTCTCTTTTTAAGGTTTAGCTGAACTGCACAAACATCCAGGCATGTATGATGAACTATTTGACCTTCTGAACTGAAAGGATTGTTGCTAAATTGTCACTGGTTCTCACAGAAGATGAGAAATTTCAAGAAAAATAGAAGTCCTTATAAAATCTATGCTGTCAGAAATATATTTTGGTAAGTTATACACTGGTAAAAGAGAAGGTGGATTGTCTTGCCTGTTGCTTGGCATCAGCAAAGAATCATATCTGCACAGCCACATTACAAGGGTCAAAGCTATTCACTCTGTGTACTTCCAACCACACTCTTTTTAAAGCATCACACCTTTGATTTCCTGAATTCCCAATCTTAGAGAAACTATGCTGCACAATAAGGTCTATTATTCCTCTGGGTTTGTTTCTTTAAATCTTGTTTATTTGAACACAGAGTTCTCCAAGGTGCTCATCTAAGTAAGGCTGAATGAAGTGATGGATAAGTACCTTTAGCTTTATGATTTCAGGGTTGTACTGTACAGCATCTCCCCACTCCTGCATGAGTGCAGCTGTTGGCAGGTTTTTGTAGGCCAACGTGGTGATGTGTTCACTTGCTCCGCCACGAACCAGGGCAATGAAATCTTCCACATACTTTTTTTTGGAGGTGCTGTCTGCAAAAACACATTCACAAAGTGGCCAGTTCTGCCCAGTTATGTCTTTGTGGACTGCAGTTGAGATACAAGCTAAGAGCAAAATACCCCTGCACAGGATCCATCACAGTCAGAGGGCAAAGGAAAAATGCTACAAGTGCTTCACACCTGGTTTCCTACAAAGTGTGTCCTATGTCCCTCCTGATCCCTTGTAAGAATACTCCATGCTCCTCTTCTGCACCTTATGTCTCTCCCCTAAATTTCTACCCTATGGTTATAAGCTCACAGGTCCACCCACAGCTCCTCACCACCAAGAGTATTGCTTGTTCTCCTCCATGTATTTTCAGGTGCACCCTCCTCCCACTGCACACCCCCAGCTCCCCACATTCCCTGAGGCTCCTACAACACCATTACCTCCCTTTTTAGCCCATCAGAGCTTTTTTAGGTGCAAAAAGGGGCATGCTGGGCTGCTCTGCTGAGAGGTGGGGGATTAGTAACACAGCAACAGCCAGGTGGGTAATGGTTGATCCTTCCCTGCTTTTCCTGGGGATGCTGAGCAGATATTTACTCCCTACTCAGTAAAGAAAATCCTGGGAAAAACCCAAGCTTTGAGATATCTCCCCCTCTGTTAAGCCTGCCTGGGGTTAGTCAGCAGACTCAAAAGTGGCTGGGAGGAAGTTGGGAAATATTTCAGGCAGGCAAGATCAAAAAAATCTTCTTTTCATTATGACAAAGGCTATAAATGAAATGGCAGAAGTGTTTCATGCTTACCTCCAATCTCTTTTAAAATGGATTTACAGCCAGCTGCATTTATTCCAAGCCTCACATAGACCTCATCAATACTTGCACCAATGTTAAAGCCATTCTGGGTGCATTTTTGGACATCGCTCAGAGAATAACCTTAAATACACAGCAAAAAAATGTAGCATTTTAATACAACTGTTTGATGGTTTATACTCATATACACAGAAAACGGACCTAAAAAACCCTGGTGAAAACTTACAGCCCAGCTCAGTACTGGGGACAGTGAGAAGATGTTGCTACTGCTGCAGGATCCTGATCTAGGTTGGAAGACACTGATGGGTGGAGCATTTTGATGCAAACAATAATACACATTAGTTCAAGCAAATGTGGCTTGTGATGGGCCCACACCAATAGCTGAAATTGGGAAACAGTGTTAAAATTTGAATATGTGAAATCTGAATCTAAATTCTGTCCCTCGGGGCTCTATCTGACTACAGGATAAGGAACTTCCTCGACAGCAGAGCAAACAGATTGAGCATCACCTACAGCAGAGTCCACTAAATGCCTTTGCAAACAGACAGCGGAGGCAAGTCCTCACTCCCATGCCAATGAATAAATAACTGAGAGTGCAGCTATTGATTAATGTCACATAGCTTGCTCTGTCCTACACAACAATCATCATTTCTTGCAACAAAGGAAGCCAGAGTCAAAGAGCAAGAGCAATGTCAGGCACAAGAGTCATCCAGCAAATTATTTACTGTTTCCTACATGCCGGAAAAGCTCTCGAGGCTAAAGGTGTTTCAAAACTGCCATTTGAAAGGCAATGGAAAAAGAACTTAGGTGAAGGTTTTCAAAGCTAACAAAAGTGTTAAGATCCATGATTCTCATTCATCTCAACCTCTTGTCAGCCTCCAAAATGTGTCATCTAAAACACTTGCTAGTGGGCCCTTCTTTGTGAACTGGCAGCACCCACAGCCTGACCACTAGACAAGCCCATGATGCTGAGAATGCTTTGAAAACCTCTTTATTCACTGCCATAAAGCACTTCTACTCCCACATCCTGCAGGACTTTTTTCAGACATTGTTAACTCCTTCTTCCACCATCTCTCTTTTCTCATCTCAGACCTGAGCCATCACTGTGTGCCTGCAGGGGGGTTTTCCCACGAAAAAACCGGTCCCAAAGCTCCTTCGCAACCATCAGATGCACATACCTGCCTTCTGGAGTTCGTCGCTGTTCATGACTAAAGTATATTCGTAGATGCCACCGACAGTGGCCTCAGTGATGTAGTGGGTCCCGTAGTCCCTGTAGAGCTCCCTGTACTCCCCGTAGCTGTACTCTGTCGGGAGCTGGCGGAGCCTCTGCAGGAACTCGTAATGCAGCATCAGGGCTCGGGGCTTCAGCTTATAAACAGCAACAGCCAGCTCAGAACGGGCATGGATGAATTTGCTGGACTACATGAAATGCAGAAACACAAGAGAATCCAGAAGAAGTGAGAGATGTCATTCTCGTGACAGTGTGTGGTTGGTTATTTGCTCTTAAACAATTAGCGCTGGTCAGGATTTATCAATTTTACAGTTTGCAACTGGAAATCTTTTAACTTTGCAAAAGCAAAATTTTTAGTGGTAAAGTTTCTGAAAGTCAGGCCACTCTTGGGACACAGGAAAAGGCAGGGTCCAGGCTCTGCTCTGGCATACCCAGGATGCAAGGACGCAGCAGCACCCCACGAGCCTGCTCCACCCATAGTAACACTGACCGGCCTTTGTCTGTCACAAACTCTCTCCTGAAAAGTTCTGACATCTGAAATCATGATTTATATGTGAAATGGTAATTCTCTGGCTAATCCATATTCATATTTCATAGAATATGCTGTTATCAAAACTCAAAGGAAAGAAGACAACACAAGCACTCCCACATACATGCACACGTATTTGTATGTCTCTGTGTAGATATGCGTACATGGACAAATATTATCTCCCCCCTTTCTGGCATAAAAGTCAGGAATAGAAGATTTCTTTCAACATGTTCAAAGGATTAAATGTCTAGTTGTTTGAGCCAGCAGGATGAGCACATCAGGGAGGGTTCAATACAGAACTCTGCAGCTTATATAATAAAATCAAGACTTAGGATTGGGTTTCTTTTCGGATATCTATTGCAAATGCTTCTTATATACCTCTGATTTTGTTGTGGGAAATGCCACTTTTCAGGAAACAAATGCAAGTTTAATAGCAACAAGGAATACTTTGCCATTCCTGAGTGTACTTCATACTGAAGGGAGACATAGATCAGTGATACTATTAAACCACTGATAAGAGCTATGTTTGTTTACAGCAATAACAGATGAAACAAAGAAAGCAGATGATGATGCACACTATCTCAGACTCAATCTCATAAAGCAGTCCTAGGAGTTACAGATCTCCAGCCAGCTTAAAGCCAGCCTCAGCTCACAGCTGTGACCAAACCTCCGAAGACAAGACTGGAAGTGATGGTGCCTTTTCTATTTCTTGGGGTGTGTGTCCTGCTCTGATGAATGATGCACGTGGCAGACAGATCACATCAGCCAAAGCCAAATGGCATCGGTTAGTCTATAATTAAGCCCACGGAAGGCCTGCTAGCTGTTTTCATTCTATGTTATTGTCAGGGCTGCCCTACAGTGGAACAGCTTGGCCTTGCTGTTTGCATTATCATTTACCACACAACAGCTCCTGCCTTGCTGAACCCACCTAAAAACAGAGATGGCCCTTCACGTGTGAGGTGATACTCTGCAGGGATCACACAGACAACAGCCACCCGTACCCCTGACCAGTGCCTGGACTGCATGTACAGGCGCAGGAATTCCTGGAAGTGCAGAGATCCTATTTGCCCTCCTTTCACCCCAGATATCTCACTTAGTTGCCATCACTCACCAGTGGTTCAAAGGGGAACTCTGGGCTCTGGGGTTCAATAGCTACACCCCGATTCTACCTCTGCAGATTTCCTTGGAGGAGCCACTGTGTTGGCTGCACTTCCAGACTGCTTTGGCATCAGAAGTAAGAACCTCTCATGACCCAGCACCCATGGCCACGTGGGGACTGTCACCTGAACATCTCCAAGTAGCAAGATGACTGTAAGGAGAGGAGACCATTCGAACAGGCTGCTTAGTTTCACTTTTTTAAATGGTTTGACTACAAACATCCAAATGTGGATGCCCAGCAGGACACTGCACAGACCACACTCAGTTAGAATCATAGCATATCCACAGATGAAAGGGACCCAGGAGGCTCACTGAGTCCTCTCAATCATTTGTGGTTGATTCCAGAGGTTAGGCAGCTCAGTTCCTGGCTGAGACGTGAATGGAAAAGCTCCTGGATGCCGTAAACACAAATGAAGGCATTGTGGCTGTAGAAAAGACTTGACCAAACGGCAAAATCTGGTGGGGGAAAAGATTTCATTTATCCCAGTCATGGCTGCTGACCTGATGATGAGCATCAAACTGGCACACACACACTAACAGATAACGTTAGAAGAGAATTAAGTGGAACAATGCTTACAGTTGAAGAAAATCTTTTCATCCTCTGAATGAACTTCTTGAACCTGTTGTCATTTGAACTGTAACCGAGCTCAAACAGTCCTGGTATTTTTATACCAAAGCTGAAGCTTGACTGTGAAGCCTTTGCCTTCAGGACATTGCTTTCATAATTTGAGTAGGAGTCATATTCAGTCATTGTAAATTCATATTTGCCTTTGGTCTAAACAGAAAGGAAAAACAACATGTCTCATTTCCTGCATAGTGATTGTATACCTGAAGCATGAGGAAGGAATGCAGATAGAAATATACTTGTGAATTAATGCTTGCACTTTGAAGATGAAAAGCGTTGTATAATTGCAAAGTACTATTATTATTAACACAGATACTTCAAGAATACTTGATTTACAGCAGCAGGAAAGCTACTATCTGCTCCATACTGCAAGGTCCTCAGGCTTTCACTTAATATGTCAATCTTATGCAAAGAAGGTGAAGTCTTAAACACAGGCATCAATTAAAGTATGAATTCTAAAAGGAAAAGGTTTCCTAGTGGGCAACACTCAAAAATATCATGCTATGTCATCAAAAGCATTAAGGTCAAATATATAATATTTGAAATATAGCTTTGATGCACCACAGATACAACCTTTCATACAAAGCACATGGTGTGCTGCTCAGCCCTCAGCTGTTGTGCAAGGGCAGCTTTCCCAGCCTGGCTCTTAAGGCACTCCACAATTCTGTCTAAAATTAACCTCCCCATGCCCACTGGGTACCTTTTGGGGCCTCTTGGACACTTCTTGGCACTGGGAAGGTAAGGTTCAGCTTTTGCAATGATAAGATCCAAGGGAACACTGTCACCTATTCCAGTGCACATGGATATTATAAGGGGCTGTGTTCAGCATCATGGACTATGTGGAGTACGATCATGTTCTACAATAGGGTTAAATTCACTCTGATCCTATTGGGTGTCAAGAATTTTTTGTAATCTTTTATAAAATGATCTCGTAATGAAGCTTTGTTGGTTTTGTGCACTAAACCTCTTGGAATATATGTATGTGTGTTTATTTGCAGATAAATCTGAGACATACCTCCGGTGTATAGCTTTCTACATTGTATGGCTTTCTGAATCTTGTGTCCATGATATAATGGGAAGAACATGCCCCAGCATAGTACCTGTGATCAAGAACTAATCCTTCCAAGTTGTTTGTGAAAATATTTAACCTGTAGATGAAGCATAGCAGCAAAATTTTACAATATCATCAACTTAAAGGTAAACACTAAATGCCTTGACTGAGAAAGGCAAAAGACTGTTTTGTTTGGCTGAGGACTTTTTGTTTCACACTTCTTTATTTTGAAACCCAAAAGAAAGTTTTGCCTCTTTCACAGTCCAACCAACCCAGCTGCTGCAGAAGAACTAACTAACAAGGAAGCAAAAGGCAGAGTCAAATTTTGACACTTGATAAATATGAAGGGCAATTTTCAGCACCCAGCTATGAATGACACCAGTGTTACTGCCACCAGCACTGGTAGCTTTTGTAGTCTTTGCTGGAACTCTCAGGGACGAGCAGAACAAACCCTCACCAGCCAAATCCTCACCCTGTCAGGCTGCCCACCCTGAGCATTGCCAAATGCTCACTGCATCCAGCAGGAAATTTAAAGACAGGTTTGCCAACCCACGTCATCAATCCAGACCAATTTTTAATTCACATTTCTTTGTTCTGGTTTATCAGTCATGATCTTTGCCAGGTTGGTCAAGGATCAACCAGAGGTCAGTAGAAGAGAGAAAAAATTGTCAGGGTACAAGAATAAAGGTAGTCAAGGAATTGTTCAACTAATCCTTGAAATCATGGGGAAGTTTTTTTTTATTTCATTGGATGATGGAGAGAAATCTGCTCTAAGAAAAGATGTAGCATTGCAATCTTTTTAGATGAGGAGATTAAACTCCATAACATGTTCTTCCTATTGCTGCTGGTGGGATGTATTGCAGTAAAAACCCTTCTGTTGCTCACTGTCAGGACACACACCACCCTCGTGGCACAGAGCTGAGGACGTGGCACTCACTTCCACAAACTCAAATGGTTATAAGTGTAAATAGATAAAACTTCACCAAAAAAAAGAGGATAAATTGCTAGTAGTCCATGTGTGTCCCCATTAGCGTTCCAGGACTCTGTTGGACCTGCCTCTCCTTATTTTGGGGAGAGAGGCTTGCATGATAATGACTCTGAGGCTGTAAAAAATTAACTCTAATTTTAGAACAATCTGAAAAGATGGGAAGTCCACTAAAAGCAAATTACTGAGCAATTGTAGCTTCAAAGAGATGAGAAGCATGTTCCTATAATAGTCCAACATTATTTTTAATTTTGATTAAACTCAGAAGTACAAAGCATTAGCAATGACATGTGCAGCAGCCATATCTCCAGAGAATAACGAGGAAATTATAATTTTTTCCTTGCAATAGGAGTTTTTCTTTTCCTTTTTTTTTTTTAATGTAAAAAGCATTTTTTCCTGCAGAATGAGAAAAAACTCTTTTCACACAGTCTGATCTTACAGAAAGTTGTTACAGTCTTATCTTGTAAAAGCTGGATCAATTCAGACTTGGATTTTAATCCCCACAAAGCTGGAGTTTGCTAAGATGCATGTTAACCCTACTCCAATCAAGCAAAGCCCATAAATTCCTCCATCTTTCACTGTTGTGAAAGAAATCAAAGAAATTTTGAACTCCCTCTTCCTCCTCCAAATCAGTACATGGTAGAAAGATACAAACCCATAGTAAGGTTCATATTTTAGGCAATCCAAGGTACTGATTTCATGGAATCATGGAATGGCTTGAGTTGAGGGACCTTTAAGGCCATCTAGTCCAACTCCTCTGCCATGGAAAGGAACACCTTCCACTGGACCAGGTTGCTCCAAGCCCCATCCATCCTTGAACACTTCCAGGGATGGGGCAGCCACATAATCTCTGGGCAGCCTGTGCCAGGGCCTCACCACCCTCACAGGGAAGAATTTCTCCCTAATCTCTAATCTTAACCTACTCTCTGTCAGTTTGAATCCATTCCCCCTTGTCCTGTCACTCCAGGCCCTTGAAAATAGTCTCTATCCATCTTTCTTGTAGCTCTTTCAGATACTGGAAGGCCACAGTTAGGTCACACCAGAGTCTTCTCTTTTCCAGGATGAACAATCCCAATACTCTCAGCCTTTTCTCATAGAAGAGGTGCTCCATTCCTCTAATCACCTTGGTGACCATTCTCTAGACTCACTCCAACAGGCTGATGTCCACAAGACTTTGGATGAGGTTCCCAAAGGTTTTTGGATCCTAACTCACTTCTGGATACAACAATTGCTAGAGCTTTTCTCTGGTCAGTGTTTATGTCTGAAGCCACATAAGATCATTCCTAGCCTTAAGTAAGAAAACATTTCGTGCAAGTCACTGACTTACCCTTTTGCCAGATTCTCTATTCCCCAGTATTGTTCCATCTTCTGGTCACACTTTTTAAACACCTTTTTGCAGTTTTTTTCATCTGACTGGTCCCCACAGTCATCGTCCCCATTGCAGAGTAGCCTCCGTGTAATGCATCTCCCTAGGATACAAGGTGTAAGACCCACATAAAATAACCTATGATCATACTCTCTGACTCAGTCTAGAAACAAAATAAAAGATTCCTGTAACGAATGGTTCAAATCTAGTTGGAAAAAAAATCTTCATCTGCATGGATCACCAAACTCTTAACTGCTCAGTTTTGCTCAAAACTCTCCTAATCTTAAAATTCATTGCTCAACCTAGAAAGAATGTCAAGGATGCCCCAGTGCATGTTCTCCTGTTGCTGTCACTTGTGCTACAGATTTTACTGATATAACTGGGTTTTAATTTCCTATTTGAAGATGTAAAGACATGCTTTAGACTGACAGATGTTGGCTAATGGACTCACTCAAAACCACTGATGCAAACACAAGCATGGAGCCGGGTCAACTCCCGACATCCCTTTGGCCCAGCAAATCCTTGTAAAAGCAGAAAGTTCAGCAGAGTGGTGTCAGAGATGCCACCTGAGCACCTCCACTTCCCTCTTCCCACTCCACAAGTCCTTACCTGTGACTGAGCACACAAACCCATCACATCTAACTTTATTCCTGCAAGGACTATTCGTAACACAGTCTTCGGTTTCTCTGTCAGAGTGATCACAGGGATCTCCATTGAACTGAGAGGGTTGTTCCAGGTGGGCAAATCTGTACTGTGATGAAATAAAAAATATTGACTCAAGTGTACAGAAATTGTGAATTTTACGCTTCTCTAGTTAATAAACAATCTTTGTGGTGTGGAAAACTGATCTAAGGGTACTGTCATATAAAAAAAAAAGTGTCAGCAAAGAAAGTGTGACATTAGTAATGTGCCTAGTTTCAAAGGTTTCTGATCTGCGACAGTTTTAATTTTATTAAGGAAAGATTGAGGACTGGAAGGGATGAAGGAAAGTTTGCTTTTCTTTGACAGTTGCTTTAAATGAGCCTGACAGGGTAGTGCAGGACTTTGCAAGAGTAAGGAAGGATTCAGTTCCATCTCCTCTCTTTCAATTAGCACTGGTAACGACATCCCTTGTTATTTTCTGTCAGTGTATTTACTTGCCCCTCTGTATCATTAGGGATTTTTTTCCGCCCACAACACTGCTGTGAAGCAGTCAATTACTCCATCCAATATGTTAGCCCTCCTTTTTTCCCCAGCTTCTAAGATTAACTCTTTGATACGAAGCTTCACTCTTCCCAACTCCCATCACTGGTTATTTCTGCTTAAGCCTGGGAACAGCTTCTCCAACTCATTAGCAGAGGTCTCTCTAGCAAGGGGGATTTTGCTCTTCATGCTATTGGGATCATTACTTTCATTTGATGGGGCTTCTCGGGTGGAAAACGCTGGCTGGCAGACAAGAAAAAGCATCTTAATCCTGAGATGCACCAAGTGTCTCCAGGTCCCAGAGGGGACCATTAGTGTAGATGGTGCCTTGCACTAATGCTGGAAGAAAAGGACTGTGTTGGAAAGTCCCTGCAAAAGCCCAGATTTTTACCAAGCCTGGGCTTACACCTTCTCAGGACAGAGAGGCACCCTGGAAAGTACTGGAATTACTGGGGTTGGTGAGCTGAAGAGCCAAAAGCCACCTGAAAGCAAAAGCCCACAGTCTCACCCTTACAGGACTTTCCTCAGCAGCCTCCTGTATGCCCAACCCCACAAATAATAAAGACAAGGCTCAGAGGAGATTCTGCCTCCTGGTTTCTCAGGCTTCATGCCTAGACCACAAACACTCACCCTTTTCTTCTGGCAGGGATCACACTTGCTCCATGAGGACCAGGTGGAGAGCATGCAGTCGCGGGGCTGTGGCAGGTCACTCACGGATCGGATGTGCCTGCTGTTGGCCACGCTCTCATTGGTGCCACTGAGGTTAAGGGACTCTTCACCACTGTGCTCAACAACACGAGAGCTTCAAGGTGTGAAACTACCAATCTATAAGGAGCAACTTGACCTGTACCTGTGCAAAACTACACACTAAAGAGAACTAACACTCGTTAGACCCCATCAAGTTTTGCGGGCAACATCTAGATTTCAGTTCCCGTTCTGTACTGGCATTGGTCCTGTATGAAACCTGATTCCCTCTTCAATGTCCAAGAGCCGGCCCAGTTCTCTACACCACCACCATGAGAATAACCCTGCATTCAGGAGGGGTGACTGCAGGACACATATTTGATCAAGTCAGCAGAGGAAACTCAACCCATGACCCTGCAACCTGAGCTTCACCTCAAGCTGTGCAAGCCCTATCAAATTACCTGGTCAAAATCTGCATCATCAGTTGCTGCCCTTGCCCCACGGTTCCCTGTTGCTTGGTGCATGGGTAGCACTTTGGTACCTCACTGCCATACATGATAAACAGCTCCAAGGTGAGGCACCTCTGTGACAAACACCAGTCCCAATGATAAGGGCTGGTGTGCACTCAGCATTTTTGAAAACCAGGCTTAAGTGTCTCTCTTTACCGAGCAGCCTATTTTTTCCCAAGCTGGCCAAAGCCATTAGTCTTAGACTCTGTTCTCAGTTTACAACAGGGAGTAATTAACCCATTAATCCCTTTCAACCCCATAATGAACCTGAACCCCAAGTGTTAGCCTTTACTTCACCCCAGCCACTATCTTCCCCCTCATGTGATAACTGTCTCCAAGGTTTCCACAATGCCAGAGCTAAAATGGAAAGACTACAGTCACAGTTCTCTGAAGGAGCAAAATGTATTAAGGCACCAGCGAAAGGAACAGCTATCAGCCACATTCTCACTATTTACACACTCCAAGAAAACAAACCCCTGTCTCCCCAGCACTCTGTTGGGCAGCTAGCATGGGAGAAGGCTGCACGTTGCAAACAGTTCCCTGTTACAACACGATTGTGGCAATTTGTCATCTCAAATTTATCAAGAGGATTACTTTTCTGAAGGCAGACACATTGCACTGTGTTGACTTCAAAACAATGTCTCTCGCTATTCATTAGAAATACAGAAATCGCTCAAGACAGCAATTACGGACCACACAACACAAAAGCAGAGAGGCTGTGCTGATCTGACTGTTTATCTTATCATCCCATGGACGTGGCTTCAGAAACAGTCACTCACCCAACGCAACGAGCAGTTTGGATGCCAAGTACAGCACAAAGCAGCAACAGTTTGACAGGGTACAGGGTGAACGTGGTGCGTGTTGTGCTCATCGCTCCCAGGTACCATCAGCGACTCGAAACCACCACTGTTCCCATTCCATCTGCTAGTGGGGGTTTGAAAATTGTTCACGTAGTAGAAGATAAATTACTGAGGCTTTTTCCCCACCCTGTAAACAGCAGATGACCCAGCACCTGGCAGGTTCACAAGGTAAACGTTGCAGTTGTTAGCACACGGCTTTCCGCAGGCAAGCAGGGAGGAAGCAAAGATCTGTCTGGAAGCAATTTACACTTTCATTTGTAATGCTCCTTTCAAGGGATGGGGAAAATGAATATTTCAACAAATGAAACATATTTGAGTCTTGGCAAGAAGGAAGTGATAAGTAAACTCAAGTCGGCTTTCTAGGAATAGAGTGCAAAATCATTTATTTATTGCTGCTTTTCATGTCTGTCTTCCAGAGGAAGGCCAGACACGAGGCATAAGCACTCATTCTTACGCCTCAGGGAAAGCCTTCATCCCGAGAGTGCCCTTTGCTGTCTCTCACCAGGGCTTGGGCTCGTGGTGCTGGGGAAGACAAGAGCCCCAGCTCTAGCTGGGCCACTCCATAGAGATTTTCTGCTCCATGTACCTGTTGAGCCCATGGAAGCCTGTCAGGTATTAAATTAAATGATTTGGTGTTTTCTAGGTACTATGTTGAGTCATTCTCTCTCTTAAATGATCCCACCAGGTTGAGAACTTACCACGGGTCGATTCCCATCAGTTCAGCTGGGCTTTCAAAAGCAGATCAGGACCTTCAAAACCCTGCAGAATGTCTCTTTAGTTACTTGTTGAGGCAGCCTTCATATCCTGCCACTTCTCCCTTCTTTTCGATTCCTGGGACACAATAGTCTTTCCCTTCATTTTCCTAATTAGTCTTAACCTACAATGAGCATCTTAGATGGAGAAAAGTTCTCTGAATAGTGTTTCCCTGTACAAAATGAGGAATATCACTGTGTTTTCCCACCCTTCCTCTTGGTGGACAAGAAGAGGTTCTTCGAAGAAGACACAGCCTCACTCTGTGTGCAACTATGGCTTTTAGCAGCACAGTCTCTCAATGTGGGATAAATCTCTGAGTGCTTTGATGATACAAAGAATAAATACATTTTAATTTTCTCATTATGGGAATGATAGATGCTATATATAAAATGAATCATATTCACTAATACAAAACAAATCTGACAACCTCAGTGCCGTTACCTGGCCAAATGCTACACCCTAATGTGTCACAGTTACCTTACAAATGACATTATTCTGCCTGTGAAGCCATGTCTCTGCAAAATAAGCAACTGGCTGCGACATCTTTCTGGTTTGGCAGCTTGATGATAACAATTTAACACACAGAAGCACATTAACCGAATCCTTGTAGGAATCTGCTCCAAATAAAAGATTGTATTTCAGGCAGCCCATTTTTTAACCCAGAGTTACTGAGCACACAGTTAGTGATTAACAGCCCTCTAGACATGGAGGACAAACTGTTAGGGAAGATGACTTAGGCTGTGCAAAGCTTTCTGTTTGCCTCTTTTGCCTCATTTTTTGTTTCAAATGACTTTGCCCCAGCCTGAACCCAAGATGTGCCTGTGTGATACAGCTTGCTCAACCTTTGACACAACTGATTCAGTTAATCATTTGTCCATAACAAAAAAAAAACCAAGAAACAAACTAACAGAAAAGACCTTTCCATCCAGAGGACCTTTGCTGGCTGGGAAATACAGTACACATCCAATATTTCAACATCAGCAAAAGATTACTAAGATTATATATATAGAGCACCCTCTAGATTTAACTGCAAACCATGACAGTGATCCCGGCATGTGGAATTCTCCAAGCAATCTGCTTCTGTCTGCTGCTTGTCTTTGTTTGCTGCCTCTCACCATGCACATCTCAGTGGTGAACACGCAGAAGGAAGTGGTGCATTAGCAGAAGGAAGTGAGCTTAAAACAGCAGCAGGGACCCAGGAGAAGGAATTCCCTACACATTAACATACTTTTCAGAGAGAACTGAAAAGCACAGTCAAGTTCTACACATAGTTTACAATCTGGTTGAATTAGAGGTAGCTCTAACACATAAAGTTTATGACAACAACCACAGCTCATTTTCTGCTTCCTTGGGTCCATGGATCAGCGGGAATGTTACCCTGTAACAGTGTCCTCTTCCCCCAGTCTTGCTGCTCCTCCGTGGCTAACTGTAGTAGTTATGTCTGTCTGCTGAGCTGTTTGTAAGTCCCAAAGCACTTAGTGCTAACAACACTGTAAGTCACTGAATGTCGCTTTCATCACAGTTGAAAATGAAGCCTTGCTTGTGCCCACTATGAACATCAAGCTTACAAGTGCAACACATCCTTTGCAGAGTTCATAACCCCAACTCAAGCTTGTGACCCCTTGCTCTCTGTAAACAAAACCCATACAGTTTCACCAAACATGATGTTTTTTTAAAATGGCAGTTTCCTGTTCAAAGAAAAACTGTGAAACTCATCAGAGGCGAGAGACCCTCCCTGGGAAACGTCAGACTGGAGCCAGCAAGCAGCTGTTCACAGTACCACTAGTCACTTTTCAAAGAGAGTTTCTTTTTCTCCTTCTCTGAGGCAACTTTTTTATTCCCTGCTTTGGAACTCAGAACACATTTCCTTCTGCAGAAGAACACAACTGGCTCATTCAAGGGTAAGAGGAAGCTTTCCACCAACTTTAATGGTGAAGAACGTAAGATGGCAAACACATGGTAAAATTTAAAACTAAAGAATGTTTTCAAATGTTTTCTACAACTGACTCTATTGCATCACACTTTTTCTTAATAATACAGTTATTTTCTGGTGCTGAGGCTGGTCTCTGAAAGGCCCTGGACATAAAAAACTCACCTTGGTGAGCTTAATTCTCCTCTTCTGGTTTTTGATTCACTAAAAATAATGCCTCATAGTGACTCAGGCCAAATCTGGCACAGGTTCACCTACTCTGAAAGCTCTAAGGTCTTGTGAAGATGGTAAGACAGGGAACTGAGTATACAAAGAAAGATAACCCCACGATGCCCCATCCCTTGTCTCCATCTCCTCTCCATTAGACCTCAAGATAACACACACACAAACTCATTTTCAAACTAGAAACAGCATTTTTAAAAGAAAAAAAACAAGACACTCGTAATCTGAGTATGTCAAATAGTACAAAATTTACAAAAAATGCAACATATCACAGCATTGTAACTTCTGCTGATTTCAAATACAGCTGGCTTCTGCAACTGAGAGCCGTTCTTAGACCTCTAATGACTGTTAAAGAAGACAAAGATGCCAGAAAAGGCTTTTTCACAGCTAGTACCTGGCAATAATTCTTCCTAATCCTTTATTTTCACAAATGTCTGAGGCTGAATGGACAATGATTGCTGCCTGTTAACCTGATTTTCTTTTAATCTATTGTGATTTCCTTTCTTTGTTGGTGAGAAGTATTGATAGAAGTGGTGCTACAGGAGCAATGAAATAGGGCTGAAAAGCCAGCAAACAGTATCAGATCTTAAAAGACCTTTTTTAAAAAAATACATTCTGTATCTGAAAGCCCCTTGAATGGGCAACATCTGAGGCTATTCTTCTCATTGAGATTTTTCAGGTGCTGATAAAACATTTTAGGGTGATAGATGAGCCACAGGGCAAACACATCCATTGAGATAAGACTATTTAAAGCTCTAAAAACTAATAGCCAGAGAGCTGTTTCACTAATAGACCTGATATTTCCTGCCTCCAGTAGAATAATTTTAGAAAGAGACAGGCAATGTCACAGGTACTCAGGAAATCGTATCAGGGTATCTCCCCATATTCCTCACTGTCAAGCTGAAATGTATAATTCAGTTTCCCCACACTTTCAGACAGCAAGAAAAAAACAGCCCTTTATTCTTCCCCATGCCAGCTTTACCTCAGGTATTTAAAAACAACAAAATAAAGGTTTTGAATTGGGCTGATCCTAAAGAACAAATCAGTATAAGACCTTGCCACAAGAGAGTCGACTGAAACACTCTTAAAAATCATAACTTTTGCAATAGTATCATCAGAGTACAGCCAGGAACAGGAGATGAGTCCCACTGATGGCACATAACAGGAGCAGAACTAGAAGCCAGGAGCAGTGCCTCCATTTTCTGGTGGTCATGTGGACTTTCCCTTTGTTCATTCACCACTGTGTGCATTCCACGCTGGCTTAGAGAGGTAATTGTAGAGAACGGACTCAAATCTCTGTAGAAAACTGCCAACAGATATCCCCTTTCATTTCTTTGACGTGATACTCTTCTGACTGAGAAGAGCATTTGCCAGAAGAGTAAAAAATATGAACTTGACAGGAGTTCTTTAGAAAGCAAAGAAAAGAAAAAAGGAAACGTTGCATGAAAAACATATCACAACCTACAAACAGCCAGAAAGAGGTTAACTTCCCTGCTGCAGCAACTGTCACTGACTAGTGATTAAAGCACATAAAACATTGCCTTTAATCCAACGTAAGGGAGTTAAAATTGCATATTCCCAGTCTATACAATCAATTGCTTTCCCAGAAGTCACTGACAGGGAAAAGAGAGATCTGTCAGCGTTCTCACTTCTGTAAAACCGCAGGCTGATTCTGCAAACTGTTTGCTAAATAAATTCTCATTACTGCAGGAGATCGTGGCCTTAATTAGCATTAGTTAAATTGGGACCATTTCTTGAACTAAGCATGTCTGAGTTGGATACTCTCATAAACAATCTACAGACTCCTAGTGTGCTTAAGTTACAGCAGTATTAATGTAATACAGTACACAAACACAGCACAGAAAGAATCAGACTTTTTTCCCCTTCTGAACAATGCCAACACACAGCCAGGTCCTTCCTACTTCAAGATTCCTCACCACTGCCAGATTAGATCTCAAACCTGCTCCTTCTGAATTTTTAAACCGAGTTTACATAGCAACTGTGCAACATAAGCTAACTTTTCTGATTTTTCAACCATCTTCACAGTGAGAGTACCAGAAGAATATCAACAAGAGTAGATTTGGCCTGTATTGTAAAAATGCATTTTCATTTAAATACATGCTTAGTTATGTCTTTTTTCACTGTAAGTTAATTATTTGTAGCTTATTGAGAACCAGAGATCATGTTCTTCCTCCCAAGGACATCTGAACACAGTTAGCCCACATACAAATCAAAATGACATTAATGCTGGTGTGCTTTCATCACAACAGAACGACCTTTATTCTTAGGTGGGATCCAAGTATTTCAACAATCCTCATTGACAAAGGCAATCAATATTTCAGCACGACCTACTGGGCATTTCTGGTGGATGAGACATCAAAAAGTAGAAATACGGTAAAGTACATGTGCACGCATTCATATCTCTCTCTCTTCCTGTATATAAACATGTATTTCTTACCCTTATTACCTTTATTGCATTACCCTCTTGGCAAAGAATGGTACTGTTCCTTCTCAACCAAAAGATCCAGTACTTGGTACCTCTGAATATCAAAACATTATTATTTTGCATGTGGCACTGAGAGTTTCACACCAGCAAACCCTACACATTGCCCCAAGCAGCAGAAAGGTCCCACTGATACAGAAGGTGGTATAATTACCATGTGGTACTGGATCAAAGCTTTGCTTTCAGTTCTGTGCATATTACTGGAAATTTTTTGGGGGGTTCTGGTTTCAAAACTGTCATGTTTAAATGCACATTTTTCATTTCAAATCTTAATTGAATGAAAAATGTGACCAAAATAAATTTCAGTTTCTCATGCCACAAAGGTACACCAGCTTTGGGAGCATCAAACAATGTGGCCTGTCCCACGAATGTGTAATTTTGCAAGAGGTGATAAAAATACCTACCGGTTTGGAATGCTCATCCTAAAACACCCAAAAAGGCTGAAAAAGTGGAGGCAGCAATTAAAATCAGCAAATTACGTATCTGCAAGATAAGCAACACTTAGTGTTTAAGATAGTTATTCCCCAAATTGAGGATTTTCTCCTTTCCCAGATACTTCTACTGTCAAAAATACTGTCCATGCCAAACACCAACACCACACTGTAAGAATGGCAGAATTACCCCAGAAGAGCAAAAGCTATGAAACAAACTTACTGAAATGACACCTTTTTTTAATGTTTTTATTCATAACAGTATTACATGGTGTGTTACAGAAATTAATGGAAAATTTCTAAAAATTTGTTGGTTTCTTTCATTGTTGTTGAATGCGTTATACATAAAGTTAAAAATAATGTGTCCGTATATGTTAACAAATGGTCATTATCTGAGGTAAAGTTAAAGTAGGTTTAGAAATGTACTGCAACAGTCATTTTATCTTTCTCATCTTTATTAAAAAAATAAGTGTCAGAATGCAGAAATAAAAATGAATGAAAACCACGGAGTAAACATCTTTGCAAAGAAGGTGCCCAGTACGTTATTAGATGAAAGGTTTCATCAGACACTTGGATGACTACGATCTATCAAAATATCTTTTCATGACAGGTAAAGATCAAGAACCTACGGGGGATGATTACAGGATGGCTGGTGGGATTCCCTGGTTTTTAAATTTAAAGTGACGAATTTAGTGCTAGTGAAGGATGAGGGATTAAACAATTGCACAAGCTGGATATTTCAGTTATCTACAATACCGGTACAGTGCAGAGGCCCTCCAGCCCTCTCGACTCAGCATCTCAACCATGACAAGGACGATCATATGACAAGACAACTTGGAACTGATTTTATTCATGAGCATTGGTAAAGGTAAGACAAAGGTCCGTGGTGATGGTCCAGCCGTCTCTCAGGAGACACTAAAATTCCAGCCTCATTCCCTCGGCACCTATTCGTTAATGATCCGCTTCCTATAAATATGATGTCAATGGATCCTCTGAGACATAAATCTCTTCTTTCAACGTTTTACCCCATAACTGGAAATGCACTGACAGTACTAAATCTCAAATGTCTATGATGAACCAAAACTGTCTTTGAGGTTCCACGTGTAGGACAAAACCCAAAAAAACCACTGAGGAAGAAAGTAGCACCACTGTGCAAATTATGAAAATATTCTTACAGAAATGTCCTTTAGAAACACTTTTACCTCTGCTTTTAATCCTGAAACACTCAAATCTGCCAAGTTTTAAATATCTTTTCCAGTTAGAAAACTTGATCTTTCTTCAGGTGGGAAAATAAGATTTGCTACAAAGCTGTTTGCACATGACTAAGGAAGAAGCATCAGATGACCGTGAATGAGGATAAAAGTTCTCTGCAGGTTCATTAGGTCTATTCACAGCTAATTTTTCATTCACATACATTCGGTAACGCACATTTCTCTAATTTCTCTAATTCAAAGTAAAAGACTGGAATCATGTTTTGAGATTTTTTTGCACATACCAACAGTTGCCACCCCAGTTATTCTGTCTTCTAAACCATTTTTAGCTTATAACAGAGACGAAAGAAAGTAAAACATTTATAACTCCAGGCCTATTTTAATCATGACAAAAAATGTAAATCCTAATGTGCCAATTTAAAAACAAAATCTGCACAATAACCCTAAAAACTGATTAATCATTTGATTTCTTTAACCTTTTTTCCTTTTTCTATTTTTTTTTTGTTTTTTTTCTTCTTTTTTTGTCTTTTTAGTGTTAAACCACTAAATTCAATATACTGTAACTGCATAGGAACATCAGGAAAACACATTTGACCTGTATAACAATTCTCTGTAGGGCAAAAATATATAGATTCTTTATGAAAATCATGTGCTAAACATATGAACCCAAACACTGCACTTTTGTTTCATAAATGTAAAAAAAGGAAGTTTTAAATTCTTTTGTTCTGCATGTAAACAGTTTGATGACTTCTATGCAGAGGTTCAAAGGAATGTCTATGAAATGTGAGCTCTTGTAAGTGGAATATGTCCGTGTGATAGCGCTAGACCATAAAATCAAGTGTTCCCATTAATTTTACTAGTCGCTGACAAGCTGACTGCTTTTGGCAAATGCACTTGAGCTTCAGCCCATTATTGTAAGCATGTGAAAAAACATGTGATGTGAGAACCACAAATTGGGTTTGCCACCCCTCCCAAGCACTGCAACTTGCTACCTTCTCTACTGTGTAATGGCATTAGTAAAAGAATTTTCATAACATTTATATTTACAAAAAAACTGGCAATTTTCATTCAAACTCCTTAAAGCCATTTCCCCTTAAACATTTAAAGAGTTTAACAGTAAGATTTTTTTTTCAAGTTATAAAATAAAAATCCCATTTGATTTTTCTGATGTACAAAAAGTGATAAAGATGAACAATTTGATCACAGAATCAGTTTGTTATTCCAAAATCCATGCCGTCCTTGTCCCATTTGTAAAGTCCGCTTCAGCCAAACTCTTAAACCAGAAGCATACCAGTATTATTTGGCAAATGATTTTTTTTCATCAAAAATGGCACACAGAGAAGAAAACACTTGTCTGCATAGCATTACAGCAGCAAGATACTGAAGAAATAAAAATATTCCTTTTCTGTACTTTGTTTAGAGTTTCCTAGGAAATACTGACTCTTTCGTCTTTCCTCAGTGGGACTCCAGGTCCTTTCTCTACCCACAACATGAGTATTCCAACAGAAAGCAGCATTTCTTCCTCATGATGTGCTAGAACTTAAAGGTCCATTTGGCAACATTTCAGTCAGGATGGATAAACAACCGAGTTTCATTCTGTGGTTTCAAGTTAGGAATCATTTCCGCAGGAGGCGTTCTGCTGTTAGATCTGTCACTCATACAAAACTACAGAATAAGAAATAAAATAAAAAAAAAAATGACACCACCAGTATTTTTTGTTGTTGTTATTTAAATATGTCTACATAGGGAAAAAAAAGGGTCAGGATCAGCCTGATGTAAATGATGATGAAAAACATGTCACCGTGACATAAAAAGTGCCGACTTGTGCCCCAAAGGCTGTTGAATGATAATGCCACTGCTACATACAGACTCTGCTTTTTGCTCAAAAGAAAAAGGAATGTCTATTACTCAATATGTGGCACACAGAAGACAACAAATCTTTAAAAGAAGACCGAGGAGTAAGATTTCCTAGTCTGGATACCCACCACTTGTGGGGACGGGGCTGGACTCGTGGTATGATAAGCAGGGAGAGTTTTTATTTTGTGCTGCCATAGGAATCTGCCATTGGTTGCCAAAAAAAAACACATCAGGAACACTCGAAGAGCCAGTCCAGAAGGGCAATCTCGCTCCTTGTCAGACAAAATCAATTGGAAAAAAGCATGAAAGCCAAAGGCCTGCCAGGTTGTTGGGTTTCGTTTGAGTCTTGGAGCACCACAAGACTGTAACAATGCTATTTCTTAGGTCTGTTAATCTGGGCGTAGAGAGGTTCTGCTTCCTGGGGATAACAAAAATAAAATAAGCGGAGATGTCTCCAGACAGCATTTTTAGAACATTTTAAGAACATCTGCTTGAGAACAGCAACACTTTGTCAGTCAAAACCCAAAGGAAGTGTTTGCTTTCTGTGCTGCCTTGAGTGATCAGGGTACTCAGGGTAAATTGTGAAGAAAACAGGACATTATTTCAGAAAATGAATGCTTACTAGCAATTTCCTCTTCCAGCACTGGCCATGCACTGATTTTCACTGCTGGGCATAGACATATGAAGAAATTAAATAATAATTTATCTGACTGGATGCTTGGAAGTTTAGAGACCAGAAGTGTAGCCGGTATAAAAGGCTGTTACTCATCCCAGGCTAAGATACCCCCCCCCCCAGCAGCACAACAGCAGAACAAACCTGTGGGTTTTACACAACTCAGGGAGAAAACCACTTGCAAACAGAAACCGCTGCGGAAAGCTGAGCTAATGAAGTTGTGATGGGATTTAAAATAACAACATGAGTTGCCTATGAAGAACGAGGAACACTAGCCCAGCTCAGTTTGATTAGGAGTCTGTAGAACTATTAGTACAATCATTAAAGCCAGGAGGACAGTGTGTCAATTTGCTAACGGATACTTCCTGGGGAATTTCCTGGATGGGGAGGGGGAAAAGCTGCCATGTTCTTCAGCGTTGCTTCATAACTGACACCCTGTGCTTAATACTATGTTCATCTTGGCTGCAGTGGGAAGCAAATCACCCATGGACCCTGGAATCCATTCTACTTCATTTCCAGAAAGTAATTTATTAAACTAAGAATGACATCTAAAAAAAGAACAAGACAGGCAGAAAGGCTAATTAATGCCATACTGCATTAACTCTCCACAGCTTGATAAATATTCAAATACCACGCCACGACGTTGAATTTAACCAAGTTAGAATCAACTCGTGTTACAGCAGCATTAGCAGGAGCTGACTTTGAGCAAAAAAACCTCTGAAAGTTGGCAAATCACTGGGTACTGCGGAGCAGAGACATGTCTGCCAGGGGATGGCACAGGATTTTAATCACTGCTTATACAAATGCTGAGGATGGGAAAAACAGCCCAAAGGGAGATTCGTAGGGCTGTATGTACTCTGTGCCCAGGGTACCTGGCCAGTGTCCTGTCCCAGTGCCCCCTCCTGCTTCACTGTGCAGCTTGTGTTGAATGAGGAGCAAACACAACAAATCCAAAATATGACCTGTTTCCTCCATGCCAAGAAAAGTTGTCTCTTATTCTCTGAAATTACTACATTTCTGGACCGTGCAGGGACCCTGTTTCCCCATCTCCTACCTACATGAAGCCCTTGAGTACACTACAAGCATTATGAGAGGATGAGAGAAATCCTCTGGAATGATTAAATAAAGGCTTCTGAAATTATCCTGAGCAAGAAGCAAATATATTTTGTGACCTTGAAAAACCAAAGGTAATCAGAAGAGATGACTGAGAGTAAATAACTGCATTTCACATACTGTGTGTTAAGTCTACCTGTGCCAATTTTCACGTACCACAGACATGAAGCTGCCAGAATGATCTATCACAGCTAGTTCAGAGAAAATCTGTACTAATTAATGTGTGAACCTGACACACACCAGGCCATTCTTCAGGCAGTTGCTGAACCTGAGGTGATTGCAAAGCGAAGTGAAAAGAAGGAGAAGAAGAAAAGGAGAGGGAGGGAGAACACCCCTTTGGAACAAAAGATGTCAGTTTTCCAAATGCCTTCAGGGGAAAAAAGAGCTTTTCAAAATGTCAAGCCTGCTTGTTAGAGCTGTCCTCAAATATCCTTAAGATATGCAGATGTGCTTAAGTAACAAGTGTCCTAAGGTGCCACTGAACTTGACACCCTTGGAAGAGGAGGAGGAGCTCATCATCGGTCATCAGCACTTTACATCGCACATGAGGCAGCCTTTACATTTAGACCAGGGCATTTTGCATGAAAAGTGTGTTCTTATGTCTTCCTTTCAGTTGATTTCCCCCTTCAGATGCCTAAATGAGAAATTAATTGCAGTAATTGTGTGCAATCTTCCCCGCCAAAGTTTTTGTGTCAATGTCTGAGATTTGTTTTCTAATATTATTTTGAGCTAATTCAAGCAGCACATCGTGCCTGTAGCCCAACATTGCAAATGGTATCTGTAAAGTATTGACACGGTACTCAAAAGGGTAAAAGAGAGCAGAAAGGGATAGAAAAGAGGCAAAAGGAGAGTTGAGTGCTGTTGACTTCATGAGTAGTTTCTCTCACAGTGCTGGGCACTGTTTTGGAGGGTCTCGAAATCAGAAATACACCTCCTTTTTGTACACACTCCATGCAAAAGTCACAGGCTTGTTGTGAAAAGGCAGGTGAGCATAACTCTTCTCACAGTATCAGAACCATCTCAGCAATGTTTTCTGCTTTCTACTTCTACCACTGCATTAGGAACAGACTCGGAGGGAAGGAAAGGAAAGAACTGGTCTTTGTCAGAACAAAAAGAGACAAACAAACAATATAGCAAACAAAGCTGCCAATTCACATAAACCCCTTGAATCTCAAAGTGTTTTCCTTTCTGAACTGGCCCAGAAGCACTGGTGATGTGCTTTCATCAATCTACAGGGAGAAACCAAGATGACAACTGGAAGCACCCTTTTTTTTTGCTGCTATATTCTAGAGATAGTTCATGCTGCAAATCAGTTTATTCTTATTTTAAGACTGCAGCAAACTGTAAGTATTTCTGGTGTAGCACACTACTGCATGGGACAACAAGGTCGCTAATGCATTTGAATAACATTATGTAAATACTAGAAGTAAATTTGCATCCAATTTAAAGATATTAACATCGGCTCCCCAGCAGAACTAATCACTGGAGAACATCTCCTGAAAGACTCAGAACCTACTTAGGCTTGCAGAGGTGAACTCACTCACAAAACATAACACGGGACTGGGTTAGGAAGAGACTATTTTTACCGTGGCAGCCCTTTCATCACTTTGAGACACCCTGCTACGTGCAGAGCTTCAGGCAAGATGTACTCAATTGAAGAGGTGAGGCCTGCATAGATTTCCTTGCCCTTTACAACAGATTCTCAGTGCCAGTTTTACTCCTGGCTGACTGATCAGAAAGGGCAGGCTCAAACGATAAGAGTTTCATGAAATAAGAGTGCTGGAGAGCCAGACAAAATGAGCATCTTGTGCTGGGGATGCAAGTGAAAGGGGTGGGAGTGTGATGCGTCTTCACTGTTTATTGCATGCTGACTCAGCAAAATAGGACATAGTAAAGTTGGCAAGCGGGGATCAAATTAAAGATTTTTGGTGATAAGACAGGTCATTCCTATTGGCCCATTAACAGCCAGTTTTTATTTATTACTTATTATTCATTATTAATTTTTAATATTTAGGGGTTTTCTTACAGCTAACCTCTATTAGCAGCATAAATATACCAACCTTCTAGTTCAGGATTATGACTGGAGAATGCCTCTGTTCTTATTATAAACCTACCTAGGAATATTTCCTAGTTTCAAATATCCAGTTTAATTATTATAATTTTAAAAGTTTCTGTCATTTTAGTATCAAGATGGATGCTGTACATCCACAAAATGAAAAAGCAATGAGAACTACTCAGAAATATGAACCTGCTCCATCTTGGTCCCATTATAAAACTGAACTGCAGCCATGAAACATGCTGATTATTTCTGGGCTCCTTTCCTAACAAAACAGTAGCTACACAATTATACTTCCCATCTACATATCTGCCAATTCTCCTTCAAAACTTCTGAACCCAATGGTCAGTTCCAGTTGTTCAGAAGTCTCAAAGATACTAAAATATCACAAGTAGATTTTTAAAATCAGTTGTGCAGAAGACAGGGAACTTTTAAATGACCTCATTACAGATAAAGTGAGGAGAGCTTATCCCCAAATTGAACTGCTGAGATGCCAGTCAGCAAGGACCGTGGCTCTACATAAGCTACACAGTATGTTTTCTCTTGTTTGGAAGAAAAAGCTAGAGGAATGGAAGGGCACATGGCTACTTCAGGTGGGATTGATAACCCTGGAATAAGTGAGAAGCCTGTGTATAAGCTGGTCACATGAAAACTAACAACTTGGAGAGGACTGTAGCAGTGGAGATGGAGGCAAATCTGTAGGATGGCCCCGTTCACAAAGCAGCCTGAATTTCTCTGCTCATGGCCCTTCAGATTCCCTGGGAAATACAGTGATGAACAACTGCGTATGAGACTTGAAATATAAATTTTAGGATTTCTCTGGAATGAAACAATACTTCCCAAACTGTGATCCCTTTCCAAAGACATAACACTACTTCTCTCAGGAGCACAGCCCTGCTCAGTGCTGTGTCTTCAGTTTGAGAATGAAAGTTCTAGAGCCTACCAAGAACAGGTCACCTATAATCATTATGAATTTCTTGTTGGACTCTATACAGTTCCTACTGAGTCAGGTGAATGATAGGAAGAGGTCTTGCAAATACAGGCTTTAATATGTGGAGCCCATTCCAAATCCTGGTGCAATAGAAAAGGGGCAGAAGGAAGAGGAGGATGAAGAGTCAGCTTGATATGCCCTCCTGAAGATCACTAAGCTCCCAGATAAGCCAGTGCTTTGTCCATAATTTTCTGTTTTCTCTCAACTTCCTAAAACCAGTCCAAATAAAGAATTATAGCAGTCCATCCTGGAGCTGACTAAGACTATTAGGAACATTTATCACTAAGAATGGCATTTGCTCAAAGATAGATGATGGCAGCAGGCCACTGAAGTACCACCAAAAGCTGATAGACAAATATTCTAATGAACTGTTGCTCTCCTGACAGTGCTGATAGCATTGTGAAGGGTGTGACATATTTTGAGGGCTTATAATTGTCTGCACACATTTCACAGAACAACTAAACAATTTTTTCAGGAAGCTATGCTTTAGCCACAAATGTTTTGAAGGTTTCTTGAGAATCTCTCATGAATGATTGCCAGTGCAAGTTTTGAACTGGGCAGCATCTCACTAGAGCTGCATTTGTTCCTCTGTTCAAACTTCTTGCTTTAATGTAAAATGTCAATAATAAGATATGTTTAACACATTGGGTAGAATTGCAGCTAAAACCAGTTCTTTCCCTCTCTCTCCTTTCCTCATAGTTACCCCACACACAATCTAAAGACAGCAGTAGGGATACAACATTAATCAGCTGAAGATGGCAGTCATCTGATTCAGTGTTCTCTTCACCCCTTCTGGAAAAAGACTATCCAACCTCAATGGGGTGCACAAACAAAAGGAAAACAAGCAAATACAAATCTTGCTATATAAACAACCCTGCAAAGAGTTGATCTTATTTCACCTGTGAAAGTTAGGCCTCTCTGCTTCTTATCTTCAACCATAGAGGGACAAAAATGTAACATACCCATAAAGTGTCACATGTACCTACTAAGAATTCATAGCTATTTGTGGAAGAGTGACTTATAGAACAGTTACTGGTAGGATTAGGATTTTGAGAGCTGAAGTTGAAGATTGCAAAAGGAAGAGAGGAAAAATAGGAGAAAAGAAGATAGTAGCTAAATGATAATATAAAGTATCAGAAGGAATCAAGACATCAAATTGCTGTGGTACCTTGAAAGACCAGGGTGCAAAAAGCTAGGCAGGTGAGTATTCTGACTACATCAAGATAAGTAAAGATACTGTATGGGCTGATTTCAGAGATGCTGGGAACAGATATATTTGAAATTTCTGCACACAATACTATGCTGTGCTCCCGAGTGGTCCATTCAGCCGAGTTGTTACTGTGCTGTTCCTGGGGTAAGAACCATGTTCCAAAGAGTGAAGTAATCTCCCATCTAAGCCACAAAAGTGGCTTTTATGCAGACTGTGATTCTTTTGTACTACATGTTTCTCCCCATTAAGTTTCTCTCCAAATGCAGAGCTCAATACACAACTCAGTAGTAAGTCCTGAATTGATAATTTTCCATGGAGATTAGACTTCCCATTGCTCTGATGATACCAGGCTTCAGAATTCGATGGGCTGGCTTTAGCAAGTGGATTTCCTACAGACTGTTGCTGAATGGCTCTGCACAGAGCCACAATGATATTAGTGAAACTTCACTGGATAGGGGCTTTCTTTTTGTTCAGCTTCCTGTTCCTGCCAAAAGCTTCTAGGAATTACTGTAATATGATAATCAGTAACATTATTTAACATTTCCCAGAATATATTCCTGAGAAGTATATATATTTGATGCAAGACTCTGCAGATTAACAAAAAATACAGAAAAACCATATGGAATCACTGCTAATATATTGTTCTTGTAGCTCCCAGATACTCTTGATGGGTAAAAGAGCGTATTTTGCTATGTGTTACATAAAAGCAGAACAAAAGGAGTCCCTCACTCAACTCCCTTACATGGTAGGATGCATTACCAGACTTAAACTACTGTTTCAAGTTCTATCCAGAACTCCTGGCAGGTAAATGTGTGTGATGGTAGTTTAGCAATGATTTTAACTATATCTGTGACTGTCAAAAAATTAGAGATTTTATCATTACTCTCCCCAGGATGAATTTCAGAATTATCCCGAGTATGACAAACCATAATAAACAAATGTATGTGGATTTCCAGAGTGTAGGACTCAGACAAAAGTCAAATCCTCTTTCTTGACCTAGGAAAGAATTCTTGGAGTGGTCTGAAGCTGGGAGAGCTGGTGATGTCAGCAAAGACACAGCCAAATTATTATGTGGCACCATCCACCTGCAGAAGCAGTTCTCACTGGAGTAAATATCAAACGCTCTTGCTAGAGCAGCTCATCCCAGCTTGACTGCATCCTTACACTGTCATTTTTAGACTCAATGAGACACAAAGCTTAAAGCTACTTTTGCTTCAGCCCTCCAAGAGCTGAGCATTACATTGGTGAAGCTAAAGAAGGGGGAGATGCCTTCTCACAGCACCGCATATTATTAAGAGATAATCTTATTCTTCCCAAATGGATCAAAGCTAAGTTGCTCTAAGATTTTTTTAAATCATATTTAATGCACAAAGTAAACTGACTCCAAATGAAACTATTAATTCTGAGTTGAAACCAAGTTACTTTGGCTCAGGATGGGTAAGTCACTAGTAAACCCAGTGCAATTTCTGTACAAAAATGGAAAGGGTTCTACCGCTGTTACTTATTTGCTCCAGGAGCTCTGTGCTGGAGCACAGAAGCCGTATCAGATCACATATTTGGGCAATATCAAATACTGCAGAATGGCAGATAGGGAAAAGACAAGGAAACATATCCTTCAAATAGCAACACTAGAGAGTCTTTGGATGGAACAACAATGCTTAGCCCTCATAAAACTTTGTAGCTTCACTGTCTTTTTGGTAAAACATATTTACTGTATTGAAACAAATCACAGAACATTCACTGGGAGCCACATTTTCTACCATGTTCTGTAACACAAAAGACGAAAAGATTGTTTTTCCCGTCTGTCTGAATTTAAATGACTTACATTGATGAGTAATTTTTAAGACATCAGTATACCAATGCTAATATGAATGATCATAATTTTCTAATGTTTTTAATTTGCAGTCGGAGATAAAAATACACAAACCCATTTCAATATTTTTTACAAGCAGATAATAAACGTGCTTCTTCTACTGATTATCGCATTGATTTAGGGTAGAGACATTCATGTATCATTATATAATTTTATTTAATGATTGTTATGTCTATGGGTAAGATGTCTTATTCCATTTAATATGTTACATCTGACTGAAGGCCAGAGTGGATTTGATTAAAAAAATACATTGTTAGTAATGGCTCAGTTTCCCTATTTGCCCTTAGAATTTGAACACAAAGTAAAATAAGTCTACATTTCTTTAAAGCATGCAGGCAGCTGAAACACACATATTTGCATAAGCTGCAACACTTAGTGAATGGCAAAAGCCATGCAAACCACCAAGCATGAGAAATACACTGTGGATGATGGAGAGGTCAAACGGAAAGATGAAAGGGAAAAATAAACCATGCATCCATGAAAGCAATGGTAGGCACTGGTGGGAGAATAAGTGAACACCTCAAGGTGTAGAGAAAAAAAGGACAGATACCTACCCCAACCTGTGCTATCTAGCTACCGACCTGTGGACTTATAGTATCACCAGTTGGCTCACCAAATGGATCACTTGTGGAGGAGGCCTGAGACCCATCAGGCTAGAATACAAGAACATAACACCTTTTTTTCTCAACAATAGAAAGTGAAAAGTCAACACGAGGTTATTTTCATGCTGTGGGCATAGCAAGTACATCCTATCTCATGAAAATCAGGAAGTGAGACCTCACCCCTGATATGTTCTCAAAAGCCATAATGGTTTGCTATAGCTGATGCAGTCAGGAAAGAACCTCCCCAGTTCCTGCTGGAGCCCAGGCAGAAGCTGCCACAGACCTCAGAAGGTACTGGATCAGGCAAACCAGAACTGCAAAAAGCCCTGAAAGCCAGTGAAACCATGTGAATCAGAAAGAGTCCAAGCTTGCATTATTTTGTACCTTTGGGTCCTTTTGTCATACAGACTCCCTCTTGCCTTTGGCTCACTCGGGCTCTTACCTCCCTAAGACACCTTGGGACTTACAGTCATTGCTTGGATAACATTTCTTGCTTTGGTCCATAAAGGCAAAGAAATCACATATTGAGGGCCAGAACATTGAGGAATGTAACTAGGCAAACAACTGGGATGCAAGAATGTGCAAGACAACATCAACCATCATTTTAACACACAGACTCTCACATCTTTCTTTGCAGCCTCACCATGTTTGTTGTTTTACCTCAGACTTCCTTACCATGAGTAAGTGAATGCTGGTATGCTAAAAAAGGGATTAGATACAACTAACATATACAGCCTCACATATGAACTCTGAGTTTGGTTCCTTGTATGCAATATTAGTGCATATCAATGCAAAAGCCATGCTATCAGCTATCAAACCCAAAGCAGGACGTGAATTCTGTCTGCAGCCCCTCCTTAAGTACCACCCAGCCCTACTGGAATAGTTACTTCTGACACTACAAAACAACATTTAATTAACTTGTGTCTTTTCTAGCTAAAAAGAGACAATAAGGGCTTAGAAACCTTGTTGCTACTCACAGCCTCTGGCTCCTCACTTTTGCTTGGGCTTTCAAACCCCTCTTCAAAGAGGTCATCTGCAGCAGGATCACTCGTATGAGACGCTGATGATTTTGATGGAGAACTCTGTCTGGGTGCAGGGGTTGGAGCTAAACAAAGATTAAGGTAACAGCAACAGAATATATTCTGTTAATTTCTTCAGAAAGACACAGCAGCACAGAATTTGCTCATGCTTTATAGCCTTCAACTTTATTACTCTCAAAAATTATTTTCTGATGAGGAGCTGTACGAGGTAAATTTGAACACATTATCAACTCCATGTATTTGATTTCATTTGGCAACTTCTAAATTAAGTTTGGCTGCATCTGGCCTGTGTCTTCAGGAGCCAGGGAGATGCCACTACATTACATTAAGAATGTGTGAGTTGCCTGCCCTCTGGCAGGTAATTGAACCAGAAGGTCTCTGTCTGACTCCTGGTAAATCTGTGTCTCATGAACTCCTCTTTTCAGCAACCTGCAAAATCCCCCATCTCCATGCTATGAACACCATAAGCTTTATTTTACAACTCTTCAATGTATTTCCCCACATGTCCAGTACATCAAGCTATTAAAATAAATATCCATCCCCTAATTTCTGCAAGGTATGGCTTGCATGGGACATGAGTGAAACCATTTGTAAGTCTGAATGTCATAGGCATTTGCCAAACAGCTTGCATGGCCCTACCACAAAACACATATTACTATCTTAGAAATTAAATTTCAGACTTCAGCTATCTGGGTTGTTGATCTTTGTGATCTCTGAAATTCCTCTCTGATATTTTCCTTTATGGCTGGAACACATTTAATAAGCTGGACATGCATGAAGATTCTCAGTTTGTATCTGTGTTGGAATTTACTATATGAAAAACCAGAAATAAGTACTTTGAGGAGCGGTCACATCTGAGGAAAGGTATGGCTGAAAGCATAGGAATACTCACGTGAATTTGTAGATGGTGTTGTGGAAGTCACAGGAGTCAAATTTAACTGAGAGATGTCAAAATCATCACAATCATCTGCTTCCTGTGCCATCCCAACTTTATTAAAGTAACTTGAGAAGGCCTCTGAGGTACAACTGAGGGAAGGCTGATCTGGTTTTCTTGATGGCACTGGTGGAGGCTGAGCCATCTGGAAATCTTTAAACATTTCTTTTCCCATTTTCTGTCTGGGTCTGTCTGTCTGTGGACTCGATCTGTTGGAATCACTTGTGGGTGGAACTGTAGCTATAGGAGCAATGGTACCTTGAAACATGGCTGCTTGTAAAGGCAAAACAGTTTGTGTTGGCATGAAGGCAGTTGGTTGGAACTGACCAGCTACAGATGGCCACGGCTGCTGAGTAGGAGGAAAAATACCGGGCTGGCCCCACGCTATCGGCTGTCCTCCCTGCATCACCTGAGCAACTGGAGGCTGAGCACCCATGGCCAACTGCTGTTGAACAAGTGGTTGCTGTCCCCAGAAGGAGGGCAGAACAGCTCCCATGGCAACATAACCTTCAAAGAATAAAGAAAGCAGAAGGGGGGGAAAAAATGAGATGAAAGATTTTAATGCTACTATCAACAGCACGCAGAACAAGCACAATAAATCAGAGATGTGCAAGCTACATTAGTGATCCCAGAGCTTCAGCACACTTGAAAAGAAAACTGAAAGACATAGTTGGATTCACATCACTGAGCAAATACTCGTATACAGAACCACAGGCTGGTGGGTATCGGCAATAATCCTTCCTCTCATCTGAACAAAAACCTCTCCTTCCTCAGTGAGCACCCCCTGCACCTGTGAAGACCTGTGTGCATGGACCTGGTCAGCAGCTGGGCACTGGGCAGCTCCCTTCCATGGTGCTCTGTTAAAGCAGGGCCAGTTTGGTCAAACCACTCACCAGAACCACAACAGCTCCCAAACCACTTCCTAAACTCGCCCCCTTCCAGCACAACCCTCCTCCACACCACTGAGTTCTGCAGGCTCTTCTTGCAACCCTGACTGCCCCACCCTCTGCCTTTCGCCTCTGCCTGTCCTTGGAGAAGGAGCTCTGGGACCGAATATGATGCACAGAGTCAGGCTGGGATGGATGCTAAAAACGAGCAGCCAGAGCAAGCAGAGGGAAGGAAGAGGATGCTCAGGATTCCCTCTTGCCTGCTGCAGTTCCTCATCCTTTTCACTTTTATTCTTTGTTGGGGAGAGGGACCCACCAACACCAGTCAACTCCTGCCAATGGCACAGCTGCCAAACTGGTTCTAAGGGGCAGGGAAGCACCTCTATATATGTTATATGACAGCTCAAGGGCTCTCTAATGACAGTGTGACCTTCTTGCAAGAGAACAACTCTTCTGACACAGTTACAGTTCAAACCATTTGGACTCCGAAAAGCAAAGGAAGTGTCTCAAATTGCATAATAATAATAATGAAAAAAAGAGCCCAGATGAATTCCAATTAGAACCCCTCACATGTGGTTATTACCCAATTACTTGAGAACATCAAAAACATCTTGAGCTTCTGCTGCACTAAATACCTAATAACAACAAACTGCTTCAGGTATTAGGCTAGTATAACACCCCTCTGGTTGGGGAAAAAATTAAAGACTAAAACTAAAATTATAATTGCTTCCTGTCAGACCTGAAGCCTCCTCTCAAGCTACCAAGAGGTTGACTGTGTAGGAATTATATCATCAGGTGCTTTTTTATTTACAACAACAAAAAATACTCTGAAACTAAAACTATTATAAAAAATCTTACAAATTAAGTCACCTAATATAATTACGTTCCACTGACAGAAGTACTGTGCTTTACAGATACACTGTTTCACATTTAAATTCATTATTTATTGCTAATACTTTGCAATATGTAACTTCTCTTTCATCTTTAATAGCTTTAAAACTGTTGTTTCTAATTTGAGTGTTTCCTGAGTCCTCCTGTACCTTTTCCTCTTCACTGTATTTCTAGGTTGTTTTGTAATCCTAAATGTGAGGGTGCTTGCAATATTGTAAAGGGAAAAGCCCAAAATAAAATAAAAAAATAGAAACTGAACTTTGAAAGACCAAATTACTGAGTGATGAAAGGAACAGTAGCTCAGATACATTTCTTTTTCAATAAATGGCCACGATGGATTCTCCAGATGTCCTTTCATCTTGCCCCTGCTGTAACCTCATCCCAGCAGTGAGAGTTTTCATCTGATATTATCCCCAAACACTTCACCATCACTGTAACCTTTCTGAGATCGGATGCCATCAGAGAAGGAGTTAACCAATTAGAAAGGCACTATTGAATGATTCAAGGCATTCCTGCTCCTCCTTTCTTTTCCTAAGGGGAGCTGAGAGTGCTGCTTTCGCAGCATATCCAGGGAGAGATCAGCAGTCAAACCACACACCTCTCAGTCTGTGCAGAATGTTACTAAGCTTTGGAATCCTGAGCACTTTGAGGAACACAAGTCTAAAGGACATCTCAGGACTTGACAAAGTGGAACACTTTTGAAGCACAATCAAATTCTCTGTGTCTCAGCCTCTATTTACAGGAGACAGCAGAGGATACTCACCCCTTCCACAAAAAACCCAAAGTTAAACAAAATGCTTTTTTCTCTCTTGCTATTGTACCTAGCAGGTATGTTATCCAGATGTCTGAACTATGCCTGAACTCCCAGTGACTTTTTTGGCTTTTGCTTTAAAAAATGTGGGCAAATTCAAACTAATGTACTCCCTGCTTGTTAAAGACTTGCTTTGCCTTGCCCTGGAGCACCGACCTCAAAAACCTTCCCCACTTCCACCGTGCTAGATTAATGCCCCAAGTACTGAAATGCAAACCAGAGCTACAAACTGATCACCAAATCTGAGTCAAGCCTGTAATTCCAGTACATTTCTTACCTGAGGGTACGGCAGCAGTGCTGAAAGGTACAGAACCAAACATGTCTGTACTAGCAGGAAGTGACTGGGATGAAGATGGGATAAAGGCATCACCTGGAGTAGCAGGAGTCTGCAAGAAGAAAGGAATAAAATCCAAGGGTGACATATGAGCTGCAGCTTCTGCTGCACATACTTTGCTGCCACATCATCCATAACTCTAAAAATCCAGGTTTGGTGTAAAGAAAGAGAATAAAGAAAGAATGAAAAGATGTAGAAGGAAAGAAGCAATAGAAATAAGAGCATTAGAATTTGCTGGTAACAGGATTAAAACAAAGAAAAGGAGAGACTTTCTATTAGAAGAGAAAAATCAAAATGAAATTTGCCTGGAATACATCACATGCCAAATATTGACATAATTTCCTTCTCCAGAACATACAGACTTGTAATTCTAGATATTAGGTGACAATCAGGAGAGGCAGTGACCAAGGCATTAATGTAAGAAACAGTTAAGGTAAATGAAGAATCTGCAGGAAAAGTGAATAAATATTGCTTCTAATTAACCAACAGGACCAGAAACATAGGTCTACACTAAAGGAGAAGCCCAATCCAATTGAGTAAGCTAAGGATGAGCAAGCAGGACTTTGAATATCTAGTGCCAGATATGCTCCAGAATACCTTGGAGATTTGAGGCTCCTGACCTCACATCTCCTTAATTTTCTCAATACATTTATACTTCCTTACAGCTTAATGTAAGGCTCAAAAGCTTTACAGAAAAATGATTGTGTTTTCATTTTATGATGCAGAAAAGCATGTTGAGACAATTTTCATTGCCCTCAAAACACATTCAGCCCTTTCTCTCTCTCTCCCTTTACTGTTTCATCTTCCATCCTTTAACAGCAGTTCTGGGATAGGTGCTTGGTGGAACCAGAGACATGATGTATGAAGCTGTAACTGGATCTTCCTGCAGTGCAGTGGAGAGACAGAGTGCAGTGAAGCATGTCCCTCTGACAAACATCAGGGGAGCAGATCTGCAGCTCAGGTTGTATCATATGTGACACTGAAGGCTATAGTGGAAAAATAAAAATCGAAGATATTTTTGCCCATCATCATGAAGCAGGGAGTCTGCATTCAATTTGCTTCATTTTTATTTTCTTGTAACATAAAAACTAGTTTGAAATTCTCCCCACTGGAATGGTTGATGACCTGAATTGTAAATGTGCTCAATAAATGTGCTGAAAAATATCATGTAAAGTAAAGCACAGTTCAGTTTCCCTGAGTACTCACTGGGGGAGAGGTTACGTCAGGAGGAGTGGACATGTCCCCAAAAAGCTCTAGTTGGGTAACAGCCTGTAAAGAGAAAAAAAATAAAATTTCATTTATCTTTTGAGGAGAAGAAACTGCAAATTAAATGGTTAAAAACAGTAAAGTTATCCAGTAACAGCAAACAATATAAATCCCCCCAAAGGCACACAGACTTCAAATGCCAAGTCCCACATGGAAGAAGCACATGGGTCCAAGATGTGGCATTTTGATATTGCTGATGGACCCAAATAGTCAACAACTGACTCTATAAAACAATTCTGTAGGGCATTGTCCAAAATGAAAAAAAAATGAATAAAGCATGAAAAAATCTATCCAGAACAGGACTGGATGCATTACTGCTCTGCCTTTAACATCAGTGAGCACCAAGCATGATTTATGGCCAGTCCTTTTCCCTGGCTCCTTTTTTAAACACTCATTTCAAGGTCTTAAAACATGGCAGTGGAGTGTGGAGTGACAGAAGGATACAGAAGGGAAGGGCTTTTAAAATACTGCCCGATTTCCCTTTGCCCATGGGACAGGTGTGACCTGGATACGTGGACTTGAAGGAGGATGTACAAATGGGTTACTGCAAGTTTTTAGCTCTACATTTAATTTGTGTTAGAAATATTTTCTCAGGATGTCCTTCAGTTTGAGCTCGAAACAGGTCACCCATATAGACCTCACTAACTGGACCAGGAGAGAAAAAGCACTTTCATAAAAAGAAACACCTTGAGTGGTTGCATAATCAAAGCTCCTAGACATGTTCTCAAGTAAAATTACACGCTTCCACCCATCTGCAAATCAGTTCAGCTGGAGTTCAGGGATGTTAAAGCACAGATTCCTTAGAACTCTGCAGGAAACCTAAATCCCATCTACCACCTTTATCAGGGTGGCTATACTGGAAAGCTTTGATGGGAACACAGAAGTACTCCTCTTCTACCTTTCTTACTGGCTTTCCCTGTATCATACTCAATCACACCTACACACCTGGGAAGGCACAATTCTCATTACAAATGAGATTTAATGCAAATCTCGATTCAGCTCATTGAATCTCCTCCCCAGCTTAGTCACATAAACCTCGCAGCCTCCTATCACATTTCTTTCACTCCTATAGGTTTGAAATCTAGTTGAGTCTTGACCTGCAAAGACAACCCCTCTTAGTGCTTTGGACATTAATGAAACTGGCTGGTCAGGCTTTACAACCTACCAAAGGAGATCACCCCAAGACTTTTTCCTGCCCTCAGCTTTCCAATATAAATGATCCCTTAAGGAATAAGACTACACATATCATAAGTCTATGCAGTTTTTCAATCCAAACTCGATTCCCACATACAAAGATGATGCTACAATCACTTAGACCTGAAGTTCATCTAGCAGCTCAGATGATTCTCAGTTTCATGACAACGATGTACCTAGGGATGAATTATCTCACATTTCCTCACATCATGTCTTATATTAAATAGATCACATTGCTCTAGTGCTATGAAAATGAAATTTCTTCTTAAGGGCTTATATATCCCTCTAACTATCTGCATGGAAATAGAGAAGGGAAAAAGAAGAAAAATCCATGTTTTCTTCGGGGTACACTAATTCTAGTTCATGTTATTGAAATACTGCCAGAAATAGCTTCTGCAAAAAAAAACCCCAACAAAACCCAGCTTGTGAGTCACTTCTGCAGTGTGGACAAACACACCAGGCAGGAGTTGTTAAAATGCTCAGAAAAGTGGGAATGACAACAGCAGCACTCGTTTGGAAATCACTTCAGGCCTCCCGTAGGCACTCCTGACTCAAGAGATGCCAGGTGACACTGAAACACACAGAGAGCCACTTTCTTCTCATCTCTCCAAACTGCTTGTTGAGCATCAATCCTAAACCTGCTCTTTTCCTGCATCACTAGTGAACTATTCACTGTTTGCTCCTTGCTGGTTTGCTGAGGAATACCTTGTGTCCTTTTGAGGAGACCATGAGCAAAGGTTCCCAATGTGCAAAGGTTCCCATCCTATGTGAGGGAGCAGATGAGCAAGCCAGAGAGGATGGGAAAGCACAGGATACATACAGTTACACACTTGTGTGTAGAGTTATACATTTTCTGTGGAACAAAATATTATACGTTTCACAGGAACACTGAAAATTGATAGTCAGCATACTTTTGAACTCAGGATTATATGAATGCATTTGAAAGGTGGTAACTCAGATCTCTGTGCCTCCATTCTCCTGTATAATGGGAATAATAATACTTTTCAGAGTGCTTCAAGGTGATGGATCTTTGGAAACTCTTCGCAGATATAATTCTGTTAAAGCTCTTAAGGGAAACTCTGCAGATGGATTTCTAAACAGGCAGCTGGAGAGAGTGACAGGAAAGTCGACATCACTGTTTGTTATAATAAACCCTCGTTCACAATATTCCCTGGTAAAAAGAAATATATTTACAGAGGAAATATTTCTTTACAGAATAGCAACCTCAAACGCAACAGGAGCTACAGAACTACATCAGAGAACATAAACAAATTTAGTGGGAACACCGTTTATTAATTTACTGACTAGAGGCAGCTTTAAACAGCAATACTTGTAGGTGCATTTTGAAGTCCCAAATGGTTCAGATCTGTAGTAATTTTTCTACAACTCAGTTCTCAGCCTGAATAAATGAATGCATCTTCTCTGACACAGACTTAGTTTTATCCACTTGCAGCATATGAGATTCTGGACACCAAACAGTTATCTTTTATTTTTGTGATTTCACTGTCATTACAGAACTGATTTCACCCATTATGCTTCATTAAATTATTCACATCTGATATTAGCTACGTTCCAGTGAAGTTAATCCCAAGCTGAACATTTTCCAATATCGCTATTCCTATAGATGATTTCATCTATATTTCCTTAAAACATTTTTAGAGTCACAACCTTACCTGAGTGACTGAAACAAGATTTTCATCAATGTCCAGCAATAAGTTTCCATTCTCCAGCTGTAAAGCATGATTTATGAAATGAGATGAATGATTTATGAAAATGACATGAATTTCTGAGCATGAAAATGATAACCTCCATAATTATTGACTTGAGCATTGAAATGAAAACCCTTTCCATCTTGCTGTGAGCACAGATATGAAATCAGGCAGTCAAAACAGAGAGTTTGAATGCTGCTGGGATGTGGGGGCAACATACACTATTTGTGCTAAATCTCATCATCTGGTGTATAAAGCAATTTTACCACTTGCAACATAACTATTCATTTTCTCAAATATTTATTAAATCAACAATAAGCATACCCAGTGAGCTCTGATCCTGCTTACATTAATGGAACTTTTCACTGGCTTGGTGAAAGAAAAGCCTTAGCATCCTCAGGGAAAAAAGGAATAATTGAGTTTTGAACAACAAAAGCCCTTAAAGGCAAGTATTTGCAGGAAAAAGCACGCCTTCCTCTTAACTAGAAGAACTGTAACACCAATTTAAACACATCAAAGATAAATATTTTCTTTCCAATTTCTAAAATTACATAATTCAAGTGACATTTAAATCTATCGTTTGTGTGTGTGTAAATAACTTTGGAGTGTCTGCCCTCAGACACAAATATATCTATATCATCCACATATTTAACACATCACTTCAGTGTCCTCAGAACGCTAAATTTCAGGTAACATTTATTATACTGTTGCAGACTTTATTTCTGAAGAAACAAACATAGCAGCAAGCTATCAAAAATCAGATCTTAGGTGACTGGGAAGTTCATACAAGTTACCAGCCAGTAATCCCACGCTAGCTTAAAAATCTCAGAAACAGCCTAGAAGCTTCCCCCCCCCTGCCTCATCTCATCATAGACGTGAAGAAAAAAAGAAAAAAAGGCTGGGAAAAGGCAAAGCAAAGGCAAAGTCGAAGGAAGATAATGTCATTGTGCACAATCAAGTACGGACTCAGTTCTGTAACTTCGTGGTGTGTTCCCCCAGACCCAGATAAGGAAAGTGCGGAAAAAGCTCTGTCTGTTCATTCAAAGACCACAGACCTTCAAAATATTCTTTATATGACACCAGAAGGGTTTATGCCTCCTCATTTGACTCCCATCCTCCAGCATCAGTGATGCAGCACCAGCTGCACAGATCACTCTGTGAAAGCAGCTGAAGGATAACCCCATCTCAGCACAGAGGGAACACGTGCACGGCGTTCCACGGCCCATTAGAAATTCCCACCTGTGCTACAGCAGGACCCTGCAGAAAACATTTGCCCAACATGTCACGGAGCATCCCCAAGTGCCCAATTATCATGGAGCACTTGAGCCACGTCTTCTATTAGCTCATGTTCTGCATCACATACCAGCGAGGAGACACTTTCTAAGGGTGAAATATCTCTCTCTGTTAGAGCATGGAAGAGCCTGCTCTGGGGGGCCATGGCGAGGCAGCGACACGGCTACCAAGGGCAAAATTTGGCCTTTTGAGCCTTCCTCTGGTTCAGCTTTTCAACACAAAGAGTTTAACCTTTGCAATGAAAGTCAACAATCCTCCCCCTCCTTTCCCAGTGCACAACAGAAAATAACCAGAAGCCTGGAGACATGCTCCAGTTCTCGATCTTTCTCTGGGAAAGATTCCTCCACAGAGTGATGTAAAAGCTTGTTTAATTATTCAAAAAGACATCAGCCTGAACATGAAACACCCCCACCACAGCTTAGTCAACCAGGGGCACACCACTCACTCGTGACCAGCCACGCAGACTGAGGCGGAGGAAGGAGTATTAATCCTTGTATTGCAATGACATTAAACCTGTAATGAAAGCTCCATCTTTCTATATAGGCACGTGAGACATATTGTAAATCTTTTAAACATGAAATATGGAAATCTGGCTTCTTAAAGCAGCAGCAAGTTTTTTGAACCACTCCAAGCCAGTAGTGGAATTCCTCGTGACACTTTCCACTATTCTCTAAAGAATAACATATAATCCAAGAGCTAGAGAAAAATCAAGAGTAGAGAAGCAATGATAATCATAGAATTATAGAATATCCTGAGTTGGAAGGCACCCACAACGATAGGAGATAAGTAAACTGCAGTTTTCATAAACCAAGCCAAAACTGATCCACTTCCACTGCAGTATTCCCTCTGATCGCCCAGTCTTCGGAAAAACATCTTTTCTAAGCAATGCAAAAGTTCAAATTTTTAAAGGGAACTCTAAAACAGGGCTCTTGTGTTCACAGGAGTGCAAAGCACCTTCTTCTTTAACTCCTAGATACATATCAAGACAGAACATTCAACTTCTGTTACTCAGTCTGGTTTTACCAATGGCAAGGGATCTATGCTGACATATGGCACGAGAAAACCTGTTCAATATTGCTACACTTTTGAAAACAAGATGATAAAAGCAGCATCTTACAAAATGTGATTTTGTAGTCTCAGAGAATGGAGCAAAGACGGTGCTTAAGAACATGAAAAAAAATGTGGTAATTAACTTGTACTCTGATACAGAGCTCAGTAAAAAAAAAAAAAAGAGTACGATGGATCCTAAATATAGCAAATAACCAGCAATTAGTAATTAACCTTTGAGTTGAGTATTAGCTATCCAACTCTTTTAAGAAGCAGAGGGATTTAAACTTGATTTCCTGCATTCAGTGGAAGTGCTGTACCACTCAGCCCAGCAGATAAAAGAGGGGTCATCCAACTACACAGCCTCTCTGGATTTCCATTTCCCTTCTTCTAAAATGGATTTTACACTGGAAGTCTAATGACAAATCAAATAGTTGGTCAAACTAAATATTTTTTATCTTATTTTAGTTGAAAATGTAAATATTTTGGCCATGACAAATAATTTTTCTGATGGTTTGAATCACCACTGTAGCTCAAGAAAGCCCCAGTTGTTTGCACAACCCTATACAACAACTTGATATTACTATGAGCTCCATGAGCTTCAAGCAGCTTGCTAATTAACTACAATTCATTCTAAAAAAAACAATTAGAACTATAATGAGGGAGCATGTCGGAATCGTGACTAAACCAATCATCAGTCAAACCATGTCTAGTACATTGAGACACACTGAAAACATCCCACAGACATATTGTTTTCCTGTAAAACTACTGCTGAATTAATGACATCGTATGGTAACTCAACAAAGAATTGCTCAATTACTTCCCAATTAAAGAGAATACGCTGAAGAATACGTGTGTCAAGGAAAAATTGTCAATGCCTCTGCAATCTCCAGCCTCCAACAGATGGTAAAGATCCTCAAATGCCATAAACCTTCCCAGGAACCGAGGGAAGGACAGTCACGATGTTACCCTCAACCCACATTTACACAGGTACAGCTGAGCACAACCCTTCACTTGTAAGGCTGCTGTGAGCATTTAATCGTAGAATCAGGAATGGTTTGGGTTGGAAGGACCCTAAAGATCATCTCGTTCCAACCCCCTGCCATGAGCAGGGACACTTTCCACTAGACCAGGTTGCTCCAAGACCTGTTTAATCTGTTCTTGAACACTTCCAGAGATGGAGGCAATTCCATCTACAGGTCATGCCAGCAACATGAGCTACCATAAAACTACAACAATTTTTATCCAAAATACATGCATTTGGGCATCCCACACTTACACAGAGTACAAATCCAGTGCTCAGGATCCCATGGAACATGGGAATCCTCCAAAATTTCTCTCTTCAGTTTCACAGGGTAACTCTTATTTCTCAGGCTCACTCTTATTCAGCAAATTCTCCTGAAGTCACAAACCCAAGTCCTGGCTTTGGTGTGATGTACCCAACCACAGGGTAACCTTGAGCTTCTTGGCATTCATCAGCTGTCCAGTTTCCTTTGTTTGGTCACTGGATATGCAGGTTAAAAACCCTGTTAGTCAGCCCTGAGCAGCTAAAGTATTGGGATAGTTAAATATAATCGACATCACAGATTACTGAGGAGTTTGAGTGAACTGAATTGCTTTACTCTTGCTCAATAGCTTCCTTTAAATTAAGGAACTCTTCATTTGATCAAAACAGATGCTTACTCATTTGTTTATTTTCTCTTCATTTGCAAGGAACTTAATTCTGAATTCCCTGTGTACTTGAGGTGTTTACTTTTATAGGAAATGGTATTTAAAACACTTCAATTACCACTTTTCTCTGACAGACTCTAATAAATCAAGAGTCCAAAAGAGTGACTCTAGCTTAGAGCCAGACCCCTGCTGCTCCCAGGCAACACAAAACTCAAGATAATGAAACTTCCCAGGGCACAGAGGATGCTGGTACAAAGGTCCCACGGTCACTTCCTAAATATCCTCTCTGGACCCCACACACAGGACACAGTAAGAGCTCAGATAGGTTGGGATAAGCCCTTTAATGTCAGGACACTCCAGCACTGCCTGGGGGCACACTGCAAACAGCCATGGGACACGTGGTGGCTTTCTTTAACAGCAGATGGGAGAGACAAGTGATGATGGGAACTCAAACTTCCACTTGGAAGCAAAACTCCACTTCTAGACTGTGACAGCAGAGATAGCTCTGAATGCTTTCAGGGAATAAACTTAACAATGGAAGAGAATTAGACATAACCCCATACTTACTATTTTAAAATAATTGCAAGGCACAGTTATACAGTTGTATCTACTGCTTTTCAAAACAACAGGTAACTGGAGCTATAACCAAGCTTGAGAAACAAGTTATTTCTACCTTTATTACTGAATACCTTGCCTTCATGGTATTTTCCAAACCTTGAAATCTCCTGAGTTTCAGCAGGCAAAAAAGCCAAAACCTGTGTATTTCTGTACTTAATTATGTAGGGTAGGATTGAATGAATCTGCCATAATTTACAACAACTTCTCCCTAGACTGTGCCAAATACATACAACACTTTCCCCAGACCTATATTACCTTAAATTTGTGAATAAACCCCAAATTGTGCAAATGATATAATTTAATGCAGACAGTGATGCAGAAGAGGCAAAGCCATAAACTTCACTACTTAGAAAGCAGACTGCCTGTGAATAAACATTTTAGCAAATTACTGT